TTTCGACTTGATTTATACGGCCGCAAAGTGATTTGAGCTTGAAAGCGTCATAAAGCGCGATTTATTCAATGACCACGGTGTTCAAAAATCTGGCAACAAATTTATTGCCGCGCATCTCATAAATAAGCAAAAAGGGGGTATATATATATATAGAGAGAGAGAGAAAGAGAGAGTGAGAGTGAGAGTGAAACTGTGTTGTTTTATAGCGTTTTGCAATTTTCATAAATATTTGATTAGCTTAAAGGTATTTTTTTGAAGTCGTTTTTGCTTGTTTTGATTTCCGGCTCTGCTGCATATTTTACTCTATAAAGTTTTGTGTGTTTCCCATTAGCTCGTGAGTTGTTGTTGCAGTTATGTTGCTGCTTTTAAATTAAAAGCATTCCGAGAGGCTTTTAAGCCTTGAAATGGGATAACGCTGGGCAGTCGTATAAATAAATGGTCTTAAGCAGGCCAAAGTGGTCAGAATGGCAAAGGGCAACGCAAATAGATATCCAAAACCCAGCCAAAAACCCCGTCAAAGCTTTATTACAAAAAGAGCGAGAGCAGCGGCTGCTGGGGCTGGGCGGGTAAGCCAAACAGAAAATGCAATTTCTCTAATGCTCTGGCATTATTTATGGTCAAATGAATCATTAACAAACAATTGAATAATAAAATGTTTAATTTACTAAATTTGCTCGCATTTGACTCTTATAATTTACGTGCCCCATACACAATCGGGCCACTTGGCACTTTGTCATGCATTGCGGCTCATAATGTGGCGTGCAACAACGTCTGCATCACGCCCCTCTGGCCAGCAGTCAGACTGTCACACCCACATGCCATCATCACTCTCTGCATTAATGTGTCGCGTTGTGCGTGTCATTTCCTGCTTTTGATCACAATAAAAAAGGAGAAGAAGAAGATGTCACAGGCCTTTGGTCCTACGTCCTGCGTCCGAGGCGCGTGTCTTCATCAACATTTCGGGGCCATTCACAGTTGATTTTTTTTTTTGATGTTGTTAGCTGGCTTGGCCTTTATTTTATTTTTTTAACACACTTACGCTGAGTTTGTTGATGTTTTTTATGTGCATTTTGCGTGGCGTTAACTGCACGTGCCATCAATTTTAACTGCGCTTTTTTCCTGGCTTTTCTGTCCTGCTGCTGCTGCTGCCTTTTTTATGCGCTGCCCTTTTTCTTATGGGCCCTATTTGCTTGTTGATTCATTATGCACTGGAAAAGGTGTCGACGAGGCATGCCACCAGCTGCTGCTCTTGCACTCTTCGTCTAACGCCTGTCACACATTCTATACATACATATATATTTTGCAAATTTTCTTTTGTCTGCTTTTCTTTAGCTTGCCTAACATTTTTCCTTGGTTTATTTTAATTTCTTCTTACTTATTTTGTGGCACGCCTATTTTTCTTCTCATTTTATGTTTTTCATTGTGTTTACGTTTTTTGTTTTGCGTTGCCAGTCGAAGATTTTGGTCGGCTCAGTTTGAAGGATTTGAAGGCGCTGCTGCGAGCGCGCGGCGAGCGTGCTACGGGCAAAAAGCAAGCCCTAATTGAACGCTTAGTGAGTACAACAACGACAACAACATCAACGCCGGAAGATGCAGCAACAACAACAACAACATTAGCAACAACCTCCAATTTGTCGCCGTTTGGCTCCAGGGAGCAGCCCTCGCAGCCACAGTCGCTCGTAAATTACACTGCCACCAACACGCCTTCTTGCTCGCCTTCTCCTTCTGCTCCTACGCCTGGGCGCAGCATTTCGACTGTGGCGCCACACAATGGTAGGTAGTTGTCGGTCAGGTACGAATGGGTGTCGCAGTCCTCAATCCTGTGCCGCACAAAGGACCCGCAGCCGCAGTCGCAGTCGCAGCCTTTGTCGTCGACTCGCGTAATCGCAGCACAAAGCAATTCTCGTGTTGCCAAATACCACATGCCCCCACGCCTCCCCTTCCACTAACAGAACTTACCCGCTAATAGCTTTAGCCGTGTATTTGCTGCACGCTTTTCACTTTGTGCTTTCGTTTACTTGCTTAATTGATAACGTACTTTTAAATATCTTATGCATGCAGTTTTTAAGGGTTCAACTGAGTTGCTAAAATTTCATTCAAATGCCAATTCGCCGCACAACACGCACACACGCACAACCTGCTGGGCTGTTGAACGTTGCTGCATTAACATGAAATCACAGCCAAATTGTAGAGTAAGGTATTTATAATAATGTAGCAGCAACAGCAACTTAGCATCCTTGCAATGTAAAGGGGGCTTAGGACCCAGCTCGTGGAATCATGCAACACTCATACGCCCCGTTGCCCTTAAGTATGCAACGCAGTTGCCAAGCTATTTTGATTGCCCGCCAACAGTTGACAATTTCGCGACTGACAACAGTTAGTATATGGAGGCTTCAGCTACGAGCAAAGGAATTTAATAAATTTATCAATTTTTAAAGTGTTTCTTAAAAAATTCTTACAAAAAGGGAAAACGTAAAACTTTTTGCCTTTGCTCAACTTTTTATATTAAAAAATAGTTTAATGAAAATAAATAATTTAAGGATGTAGCGCAGCAGCTATAAAAAATGTCTATAAAAATAGCTAACAAGTGACCTTTGCGTATCCAATTAGCTGTGCAAAGTTCATTTAAATTAGAGTCAACTGCAACTAGCAAATACTCTGCAATATGCACCATATTTGCATAGCACGCAGTCAACTTAAAGAGAGTTAATTGCAAAGCACACACACACACGCACAGAGAGAGAAACACACATAGGAACACATGCACGCAGACAAAAGCTGACTGTTGCAAATTTCTATGCTGATTGCCGCATTGCATTTCCGCCTGCTACACTTTGACCTCAATTCTCGTGCAAGTGTGTGTGTGTGTGCCTGTGTGTGCGACACTTGTTAACCGTGTGCTTGCCCTGCGGAAACTGCCTATTAAGTTTTGATGAGAGCAAAAGCACCAAAAGTTGTGGCAAAGACATGACACGCCGCCACTGCCGCAGGGTAACAAGAATTTAATCAATGTTTCTCTTTGCGGTTATTCGAGGGCGTGCTGAATACCTCTATAGCTAGTGTTTGCTTGGGCAACAGCAAACAACAAAATCAGTGACAGGACGCACAACTTAGTTGCTGATATCAGTGTGTGTTTGTGTTTGCCTCATGTTTCCTGTGGCTCGGTTATCGCCGCTTGTCGGAGTACGCAAAATTTAACTTTTTGCGTTGTAGGCGCGTGCATGTGTGTGGGTGTGTGTGTGTGTGTGTGTGTATCGTGGCTGGCAGACAGGCAGCTTTCATGGTAATTGTGGCAGCACTTTGACACGACAGCTGAACGCAAACAAGTTCATAGAACCTTTGTTTTGGCCATATAGCCATCTAATGGTTTAGTTAGTTAGCTGGCTATTTGGGTATTATATTCTTATATCACATATGGTTTATAGCATTGAGGTTTACTTTATTTTTTATAGCTTCTTGCCACGTACACTAAAACACTGAAGCACAATTACAGACTGCGTGTGTGTGTGCGTAAGACTCGACTCTATGCGATTGGAGTCGGCGAGCAACAAACCGAGACACACGTCTGCAAGCGCGAAAATCTGAAAGTTAACTGAAAATTAACACAAAACTCTCAAACTATCAATAATCAAGCAGAAGCCGCAAAAGCAGAAAAAAACAACAGCAGCAGGTAGATAAAATAAAAGAAAAGAAGTAGAAGTAGGAGGAGGAGGAGGCGGTGGAGATAAAGAAAAAAGAAAACATAAAACACACATATAAAATGTGTTTAAAATCCCAAAAAATCAAAGTGCATGAAAATAATAATCACAACAACAGCTAGCAATGAGCAATGGACTTAGCCAACCAATAACAACAGCAACAGCAACAGCAAAAGCCACAGCAACAGCAACAAGACGAGTTACCCACATTTCAGTGGCGCCAACAACAGCTAACAGACACCAACTCCAACTGAGACCCAGTAAATGCGCTTAAACTGAGGCAAATCTCTTATTAGAAGCGATTGGGCTGCTGTTGCTGCTGCTGCAGTTGCTGCTTGCTTCGCTGGCCACTTGGCGTGTTGCATGTGCCACAAATTATATATATGGGTATCAAAATATACATATATAAAGCCTACATGTGGCTGCGCTTTGTGCCACTTCAGAGTTATTGCAGCGCCCACACATGCGACAAAGTGAAAACTCTCCGACATGGAGCTGTGTATGAAGCTAATTGAATTCTTGGCGCTGTCATTTGTGTCTCATCTGCTCATTTGTAGCTCATTGGCAATCTTTGCCACAGCGCTTGGGGGCAGGCGTCATGTGTTTCATGCCTCAGCGATCAATTCGTACGACTAACTGCATTCAACAACCTTGAGTAGCTCAGCGAGCAATTAATGTAAAAGCAAAAAACAAGCAGCTCTATATATATATAAATATATATATATATATAAAACAAAAAACTGCAACGCAATCTGGCACAGTTACTGTAACTATAACTTCTTATAAGTGCTACTTGGGTTAGGTTGGAATAATTGCCACACTTCATGACTCGACAGCTATAAACTAAGCTAAAAGTCATCTTGCTGCAGTTTTCGTTGACGAAGATTAATATTCTTTCTTTTATATAGTATGAGAAATGTGTTTAAGCCAAAAATATATTTAAGACTTAAAGGAAATATAATAAAGCAAATATAACATAGCTGAAAAAAGTCTTTAGGCTTATAATGAATGTTCTCTGACATATTCTCTTCATTTCAGTTTCTCTCTCTCTTTTACATGAGAAGTTGTTTAAATTTGTTTACATAAAGCAGAAATGTGGTTTAGAAAATTCTTAAAAATATTTTTTATGTCGCTCTCTGGCTATCAGTCTCTCCCTGAACACCTAAACAAAACTTGATATGCAAACGATGCTGTAGCTGAAGAGATTACTTTATTTATATGCATAAAGATCATTTTAAAAATATATGCATCTCTCTCTCCCTCTCTCTCTCTCTGTTTTACTCTCACACGAACTGCCCTTAGATGATGTTTCACTGGAGTACGTGAACGGCATGCCACAGTTGACAGTTCGCCTGCCCAGCCGCAATGAGCTATGCCAGTTCGCCTTGAAGCCCATCTCGCATACGGTGGGGCATCTGCTGGCAATGCTGAGGGAGGAGGATCGGGGCATAGATCGTGCTGCAATTATCAATAAGCATGGCGTACGCATTGCTTCCTCCTGCACCATCGAGCGTTTGCTGGACGATGAATTTAGGTAGCTATCGAATCAGCATTAAGTAACTTCCAATTCTAACTACAACTCTGCTTGCAGCATACAAATCAATAATCGTAATCTGGATGTTAAGCCGCCGGAACGTGAAAAGATCACGATGGAGAAGATTGACAAAATGGACGATGTGCGCAAGATTATAGCACAGGTATTTGGAATACGCAATGTGGCTAAAGAATGTTAGTTAAATTAACTGTCTAATAGCTTTATGAAGCCTTCAATGTGGGCGAGTATCAGCTGGAAAAGAGCAATGAACTGGCCAAGGAACTGGAGAGTCTGCGTTACGAACTGGAGCCACTCGAAGAGGTTAGCCGCCTTAGCGCTTTAACTGTCTATATAGACTTACCTGATTATCATTTGGCAGAAAAAAATGGAACTGGTCAAAAAGGCTGAGCGTCGCACCAACATGATGACCTGGGTGGGTCTCGGACTGATGTCCGTGCAATTTGGCATCCTCGCGCGATTGACTTGGTGGGAATACTCTTGGGATATTATGGAGCCAGTGACTTATTTCGTTACCTATGGCACGACAATGGCCATGTACGCCTACTATTGTGTAACGAAGCGCGTAAGTTGCCTGAAAGTATAATCCAAAAATAATTAATTAATGGCAATGATTGGTTTCCCCGATAGGAATATATCATGGAGAATGTGTACAACCGCGAGTACTCCTTAAATATGTACAGGAATGCCAAGAAAGCGCAGTTTGATGTCGAGCATTATAATCGGCTGAAGCGCAAGAGCGCGGAATTGGAGTACAATCTGAGTCGCATCAACGATCCCATCAATATGAAGCTGCCAGCCCATTTGGTGCGCACCCAGCTGGACGCCCCGCCCATCGAAGAGAGCAATGGATTGGAAAAGAGTAAAGAGAAGAGTACTTAAGAACCTCAAGGTGCCACCACCCTCGTGCTACCCACAGACGTCCGCAACAAACGAGTTGCGAGAACACATGTAAAGATTGAAAGTGATAGCCTGGGAGAGAGCGGAAAGCTGACGCAGCCACCTATGCAAAATGAAACTCAAATTAACATTTAAAAAACATGCGCTCGCTTTAAATCATTCAACTCAGTCATTTAGTCAAAGTTTTTGTTTAGTGATCGAAATTATAGTCAACGCTTATACACAAATTTATATATATATACATATATATATTACTATATTTTGATATGTTCTGCTCTTGTATCCTTTTCTGTTAACTGAATGTTTAGTTAGTTATGTTTAATTTGTAGCCTAAGCCCAAGCTTGAACGGGCCAACAAATGCGCACAAAATCATTTCACAAATGACGTCACCTGCTTAAGGTGTTTGCTTAATTTTTGTTTAGTTATTTATTTAGTAAAAAGATACGTTGTTTTTAAGCTTCAACTAATTTGTGTGCGTTTTTAGTGAAATATAAATGAATTATTTATTGAATATTTTTATTTTTTTGTATTTCTTTTTATTTTGCACACGTTGCGATGGATAGAACTCTCTGCTATGATTTATGCATAGAAATTGCTTGTTCTCTAGCCATTTCGATCGACCTTGGCCAGACTACATCGTTGTAGACTACGCCAAAGGCAAATCATTGCCAGCTCTTGGGCTACAGCCAGTTTCAATAAAATCCTTGGCATATTTTACGGCTGTGGCGTAAATGTATTATAAAAATTGACTTCTCTATGTTTAACTAAAGAAATTGAGCTATTGCGATATGCCACAATTAGGAAAATATATAACTATAAAATAAATGAAACTCTAGACATAACTGAATGAACGACATATACTTAACCACCTATGATAAATATATTTTGATTTGAACAAAAGGCGCTCCTCAGTGTGTGGACAAACGTGAAAACTTGCAGTGAAATCTACTAACTTCCTAAGCTTTAATATACCTACTTAGCAAATACTAACTAAACTAAACTAAACTAAACTACTTAACAACTACTAGATACATATACATATATTTAAACAAATTGTAAATAAAAACGCACCAACTATTTCATTAAGAGTTTTAGCAACAACCACATTTAACACATAACATTTTGTAGTTAGTAAAGTTTACGAAATTCTTAAAATAATATGATATATGATAATGATGCCATTAACTTAGTGACAGCAACTAATATGGGTAGGTACTTATAAATTATATAAAAAAAAAGAAAACATTGTATATGTAAATATATAAACTGCTGTGTTTCATGACAACGTAAACGATATTTAGGAACGTAAATATGAAAATGGCTGCACAGACAGCTTCAACTTAGTTTTAGTATAAGCAACTAGGCTTTGATAATTGCCATTCGTTTTTACCGTTATACGCTTTCCTCTAAAACTCTGAACTTAGAATCGCGAAAAAGGTTGTGTTGAAAACTTTATGCCTCTCTCTACTAAACTACTGTACTATATACATATATATATATAAACCAATTCCCTGACACTCACACTCGAAAGCTTAAGGGCCACACTCCAGTCTAGCTTTTCGATGCGCTAAATACACTTAAAGAAAAACATAGGCACATTTTAGATACACAGCTAATCAAAACAAAAAACTAACACACACTAACATTAGCCTAAGTATTATTCATACATAATACAAATATTTTGAAAACATTTGTGATTCAATTTGAAATTATAAACTAAAAAAAATATTGTTTTTTTTGCAAAAGAAAACTAAAACTTACTCAAAAATCGAACTTTCCTAAATAACTTTTAAAGTATTTGCATACAAATTCCCTAAAAGCTAATTTATGTTCATCTATTTAGCTAAACCTATAAGAGTATTCCCAAGTTTATATTGTTGTAATCAGCGCCAAAGACTTATAAAAAAAACTAATATCTTTAACAAGTTGTATAAACAAATTATACCCAGCCTTTTTTAGAAGTTTATTTAAGCCCTAAGAGATGCTCGTTACAAATCGTATATGTATATATAAATATATATATATATTAAAGCCCAAACTATTGTTAAATTTACTTATAAAGGCAGCACCAGAAACTGGACTAATCCCCAAATGGCGTGAGTTGCTCTTAAGATACTTATATTCATGATTCTCAAGTACCTTTCTTTCGAAAAAAAAACAAGCATAAAACCAATCTAAAATCTTTTTAACGAATTTATAATTAACAAACTAAACACAAAACCAAAAAATTATGATAAGTGCTTTAAGTATTTAATTGTTTAAATTTTGACTAAACAAGAAAAACAAAAACCAAAAACCTAAAACCAAAAACGTGCGATTTTTTACATTTATATAAACATAATAAATTTGTTTGTTAAACATAATACGATAAACTCCAGGAACCCAGCTTCAAAAATATTTAAAATACTAAAAAAAAAAAATAAAATAAAAAACAAGCGGAATACATAACGCAAAAATATGCAACAAATAGAAAACTGATTAATAAATAAATAAAAAATTGAAATTAAAACAAAAGCATAAAAAACGACATTTAAATATTTGGCTAAGATCTCGTTTTTATTTGCTACTAAAACGTACAAAGTGCAACGAGATTGGATGATTGGTATGTATTCAATACTCAATATTCAGACACAACGTATTTCCAGTCTGTAGCAGCTATTCGAGTCCGTTGCATTCCATCTGACCAGCTCCGCAATGGCTCGACTGGGCTTGAGGAAAAGCGTCAGCTGTTCGTTGAGCTGCAGCGGCGAGAATTTGCTGATGATCACTGCCTTTGTGGAGTCACGATACTTGCCCACCACCGTCTCGTTGGAGAAAATGCGCCCGCGCCTGTCAGCCACCTCGAAGGTGTGCTTGGGCTCATTGCTAGCATCGTCCAGGAGGCGATAGCTGGGCAGTCGATCGGGATTGTAGCCCAGCCTCCTGCATATATCGCGCACTTCGTTTATGCCCGGCGGCGTGCTCTTGGGAAAGCATTTGGTGTGCCAAATGCCGTAGGATTGCTCAATTACTTGACCATACTGCATGCCCTGCTTCTGGTAGCTTTGTCCAGTTTGCGCCCAGTAATCCTTATGCTGGTCCAGCAGCGGATGCTCGAGGCCAAAGCAGTAGCGCTCATCCTCGCCATCGGGACAATCGGGCTGCTTGTCGCACACAAAGTCACGTGGAATGCAATCGTCGGAGCTGTAGGAGAAGTGCATTAGATATGAAACAAATCTCTTCCTCCCGAGTTGACCTACGAAGTGCATTGAAAGTGATCCGCAGTGCAGTTGCATAGCACCGAGCTCTCATCGCTCTTGTCCCAGCAGTTGCGCTTGCCATCGCATATTTTAGAGGGATCCGTGGCTCTGAAGGGAGAGATGTTCATGAGTCTTTGCCTCGACTTTATGTGTATTTATATGTGTCTATAGCTCACTGTAAATAGGTAAAGCAGCTGCATATGGTGGGCTCATCAGTCATGTCCTCACAGTCGCGCACATGGTCACAAAACTTGCTCTTTGGCACGCACTTGGCACTCGAGCGGCACTTCATTTCGCCAGGTCCACAGCGCTGCTTGAGCTGGCGGCACTTGGCCTCCTCCTCGTCGCTGCCATCGTGGCAGTCATTGCGGCCATCGCAGAGCGCCGACTGTGGCAGACAGCTGCCCAAGGGACAGCGATGTGTGGCGCAAGTGGGCATTGGCTGCGCGTTGCTGCAATGTGGATGATCTATGGCAAATATTTATATATATATCAGTTAAATATTTAAAGTTATGCTAGTTAGATTGTACCTATGACGTGCTGCAGCATTTTGTAGGCCTCATTAAGTTTTCTGATGGCAAAAGGCGATTTGAAGCTGCGGCAGTTGGTGTTGTTATAGCTAAAGATCGCCGCAGGATACCAGCCTGTATGTGTATCCCTGCACACCAGCACGCCCTGATCTGTGGGCTGAGCCTGCTGGTCAGTGTGATTCCTCTGGCCGAACTGCGTGCAGCTGGTGAATGTGGTGAGTGCGGGCATCGACTTGGCACTTGCCGCACCGCTCACCAGCTCCACTTCGTCCGATATGGAGGCCATGTCGTCAGCACTTAGATTCAGCTTACGCATTAGGTTGCCAGACGGCTTACGCTCTTGCAGCTGGTAACAGGAGCTGCAGCTGCTGTCATTGTTGATCGATGCAGTGGCCACCGTTTTGATGCGCCCTGTGAGATCATCATGCAGCACGCTGATGCATTGATGTGGAGTGGCATCTTCTGCAGCGGAACTGTGAAAGAAATTCAAATTTCGTATTGTCTCTGACTCAAAATGGGGCAGAAACTCACATCTCTGGCAAGAAGGTGGGCAGCACATAGTGCGTAAATCGCGCCGGCTGCTCCAGATGATAAAGCAACACATTGGATCGAGGCACTGCTTCAAAGCAGTCCACACGATGTATTTGCTCATGGTTGCTGCGATGCAAGGAGCGCTTGGTCTTGCCTCCGCCCAGCAAGGCGCTAATGTAGTGCGTATCAAAGCTGTGCAGAAAGGGAGAGTGTCTCAGTGGTCCGAGGACAAAGGTGAATTATTTAAGCAACAAACCTTAAGCCGGTGAGGCAAGTCTCATGCACCAGCAGCCAGTGTTTGTCCAGCAACACGCCCAAGCACCACAGCTCACCGTCCACATAGATATCTGCTAGCCAGGGCCAATGCAGCTCTTCGATGGCCTCGTGCAGCTGCTCCTGCACCAGCATCGTCTTATTACTCTTGCTCTTGATCAATGTTTCCAGATGATCCAAGATTTCATCCTTTTTGTTGACCACCTGCAGCGGCAACAGCGGCTTAAAGTGCACGTATGGCCGAACGTTTGTTTGAATGGAAGGCAACAGCTCAGGCAGCTGCTCAGATGGCGGCGGAGTTATAGCCTGCCCGGCACTGAAGGTCTTCAGTGGCAACGTCGCATTGGAGCGAGCATTACATTCCACATAGATGCCCAGACACTTGTTGGGCAGCACGCGGGCTCTCTGCTGCCCGGGCAGCGGGTGCTGAGAAGGCCTAGGCAAGCCCATCTCCATGCTGGACAGCTGCGCATTGTCGCGCATTAGCGCCCGCAGACCAGGGCCAGCTGGCGAATTGGCTAGCTCTGGCGTGATGGGATGCATTCGCTGTTGGCTAATGAACTCGGTGCTGTTGTAGTATTGCGCGCCCCTGAAGCCCAGCAGAGCACACACCATGTCCGCTGTCTTGGCCTGGTGTTCATGGAAGTCCGTCTCGTGCGCGCACACCACGCGCCACAGTCCATGCGCGTTCTTCGAGAAGATGCCAACGGTGCTGAACTTGGGCTGTTGATGAGCATCAAAGTGCACATCGTGGCCATTGGTTAGAGCAACTGCGAATGAAGATTATTAGTCAGATAAGCGCCTGGACCTAGACTTGCTTACGCACAACAATCCTTTTCATCCTCATTGAACTTGCAGTCGATGACTTTGTCGCAGCGCTTGGCCAGCGGCAGGCAGGTCTTTGACAGCGCGCAGTGATATTCATGTGCCCGACAGCCACCTGTAGTTGAAGAAGAAAGCGTTGTTAACTGCCTTACCTCTAACAGCTTGCCCAGAACTTACCACAGTTCTGCTCATCCGTCAAATCCTCGCAGTCTGCCTTGCCATCGCAGATGAGCGAGCTGAGGCTGCCCTTGAGATAGTCGCGACAGCTGCAGTCCAGCTCATCGGTGCCATCCTCGCAGTCCACCTTGCGGTCACAGCGATGCAGCTGATCTATAATTTGTGGCAGTCTGAAAGATCAATTCAATTAATCCATTGATGGCAACAAATTGGCTCTATAGCTTACTTCTGGCAAATAAACTTATTGGGCAACGGCTTCTCCGCAGTAACTTGGCTGCTATTTGTTGTGGTTGCTTGTGTGGTTGCTGCTGCTGGCACAGTTGTCGTTACAGCTGTTGTTGTTGTTGTTGTTGTTGTTGTTGTTGTTGTTGTTGTAGTCTGTTGCACAGCTTGGCTAGTGGCGCTGTCAATGTCTATCAAAGACCCCAAAGTTGTGTTTGCAACTTCAATTGTTGTTGCTGCTGTTGTTGCAGCTGTTGCCACTGTTTCGTTTGCTGCAATTTGTGCAGTTGTTGTTGTAGTTGTGGGGGTCGACGTTGTTGACTCCTCAAGTTGGCTTATCAAGTCGGCCAACTTCATCAAATCCTCTGTGGGTGTTGGCCAAGTGGTTGTTGCTACCACAGGTGGCACTGTTGCTGTCCGAGCTGTTGTTGTGCCCGTGTCAATTTCTGCATCGGCCTCTGTTGCCGGCTGTTCCTCAGTAAAAGTTTCTGCTACACTCCCTTCGTTTTCAGCAGTTAAATCAGCAAACACGTCATTGTCGTCTATGGGCACATCCTGACGTAGTTTGTCCTCAGTGTGCTGCACTTCCTGGTCAAGTGGGTCCTTTTGTTTTTGTGGATAATAGTCGCTCTCAGTGGTGCTGCTGACATTCTGCCTTGTGCCGCCCACCATGTCTGGTATGAAGTTGTAGGAGCAGCCCACCTCATCCTCGCCGCCCAGACAGTCCACATTGCGGTCGCAGCGGTTTCGCTGGGAAATGCAACGTTTGCCGCCCCAGACGCACGTGAAGCCAGGACAGCGCTGGAGTGGCTGACGTGCTGGCAGTAGGCTCGGTGTCACAGCCAGCTCCAGCCAATCCAAATAGAGGGCGACGCGCGTATAGACGCCAAACTCTTTGGGTCGGGCACAGCCATTGCCGTGGCTAACAACACCTGCCAGGTACCATTGCTCCGGCTGGCTGACGCTGCGGCAGAAGAGCGGACCACCCGAGTCACCTTGACAGGCATCGCGACCACCACCCGGCTCACCGGCACACACATCCTCCGACACCCGATCCTCGGGATCCGTGCAGCCCTTGCGTATGGGCACAGTTACCTGTCGTATGGCATCACCTGCAGCAGACATTGAGAAATTTAGTGAAATTTCTAGTTCTAAGTCAACAACTCAGCACTCACTGCTTGGCCCCTTCTCTCGTATAGCGCCCCAGCCAACGACTGTGCAGAGCGTATGCTCCTCTGGACCCCAGATCCAGTCCTCACCAAAGGTCGTGCGTCCCTTATCTGGCAAGCAGATGGGCTTCACCCAGCGATTGAATTGCAGCGGTGCCGCAACGCGCAGCAGCGAGAGATCATTCCGCATGCTACGCCGCTCGTAGCCCTGATGCACCACAACATGCGAAATCCCTTGAATTTGCGTAGCAGGTGAGTAGCTGGTGCGGCGCAAGAGCCCAGCGCGCACCTCATAGTAATACTTGGCAAAGTTGATAACACAGTGAGCAGCGCTGATGATCTGAGAAGTAGTTGCTTAGTAGAGACTCTTTGCCAACTGACAGACCTTACCCAATGCTCCGTATAGATGGTGCCGCCACAATGGAATTTGCCATTCCGGTAGATGGCCACTACGAAGGGCCACTCCAGGGGAGTTGCATAGCTGCCGCCAACAATTCGACCCTTGTCCGATTCCATGTTATTCTGAATGGGTGCTCGCTTAGAGCGTTTGGACGGCACGCCATCAGTTGGCTTGCTGGGCAGGCCACACTGCCTGGCCGGGCACTTGACATAGGCAACGTGATCGAGCAGCGTGTCCTGGTCGTTGCGTCCATGGCAGCCCTGGGCAAAATGAATGCCCGCATGCAGCGCAGGCTCAATGAATGGACCCGGCAGCTTCAGCTGCTTGAAGCTAAGACTTGGGCCTTCTTTGAGAGCCGACGTTTCGCAGGCTTCGGCTGCCCATCGGTCGCCATTATTACAAACAGGATACCAATCGCCGCGATGATTACGATACAAGAAGCCTTCCGATGCGGTGGCTGCATGGGACTAAGGGCAAATGGGGAATGTAGAAGGCATATGGAGACTCCATTATCATCTTACCATAGGATTCGCCACATCTCTAACCACCAGGCTGCACTGCTGCTCATCACGTTTGTTGAGGCAGTTGAAGAAGCCGTCGCAACGCTCGTGGCGATTGTAGCACATGGACAAAGTGGAGCGATTGTGTCGCGCATATTCCTCAGCATTCTCGTAGCAGGAATGCGCCAGTGGCTCGCAGCCAAAGCAGCCCAGCTCATCCTCGCCCATGGGACAGTCCGCATAGCCATCGCATATGCGATCCTCATCCAAGCGATCAGCACAGGTGCAGGCCGACTCATCGCTGCCGTCCGAACAGTCGACGACGTTGTCACACCAGCTCGAGGCGGCGATGCATTGCTTCTGGCCAAAGCAGGCCACCTGCTCAGCCTCGGGGCACTTGAAACGCTCCTGCGACTGCTGCGGCACGCCCAGATAGGAGGCATAGATGATTTGGCTGCGCTGTGCCACACCCGTCTGGTTGGCATGCCGCATCTTAAAGTTGGCATTGGAGAAGCCCGCCTGGCTGTTGGGCGTCAAGTTGCTCGCCTGTGCCGTCTGTCCCTGCTGGTTCTGCATGTAGGTGCAGTAGACCTGCTGCTGCCCGCTGGACTGCTTCTGTGGAGACGCGTTCTTCGAGAAGATATTGGGCAGCTGACTCTGTGCTCCGCCCGCTGTGCCGGCGGTGCCAGCAAAGAAGTTGCCCGACGGCCCAAACTGTTGCGGCACAAAGAAGATGCCACCTGCATTCGCTGCGCCACCAAACTGAGCGCTCTGCATGCCCATAAACGAGGGCGTGGGCGACCACATGGGCATGCGGAAATTGGCCGGCGTCATATAGAAGCAGACAGGCACACTGGGCATGCCAAAGTTCGGATTGAACATGAACTGTGCTGAGGCTTTCATTGTTTCGCCAGAGACGGGAAAGCCGCCAGGCGCTCGACTCGTAAACTGCACGCTGGGCGAGGCAGTGTAGGGCTCATTGTTCTCCGCTGCTTTTGCCTCGGCAGCTGCCTTCTGCTGCAGCTTACGGGACAAGTGTTCGCATATGGACATGAGCTGTGCGTCGGCAGCTGTAGGAAGGTAGTTTTTATATACATAGAATTGCTTTACATAGAGAAATCAAGGTTGGCCAGATTTCCTTACCATTTGTCACCTTGCCACTGACAGGATTGATTTTGGGTCCTAGCTGCTTCAGACTCTCAGCATCCAGCTTCGTGCCAAATGTCTCGATGAGTTCATCCTGCTTCGGCCCCGCGTCCTTCTCGAACTGCTTCAGCCAATGCTTGCGATCATAGATATTCAAAGTCTCCGACTCTTCGAACTTTGAAGTCTCATTGCTTGGCAGCACTTTGATCAGCGGCTTCTCCTCCTCATGGCGCTCGAAGCTCTCAAGCATATTTTCAATGCTGCTGGGATTATCTAAGGGATGCACCATACGTGCACCATCGGTGGTGCGTTCAGTATTGCTCTCAGTGGTGCTTTCACTGATGGTTTCAGGGACCACAGTTTCGGTGGTTGCAATCAGCATGTTTTCAACGCTAGTGGGATTATCTAATGGCTGTATCTGAGGTGCTCCTTCTGTGGTGTTTAGAGTGGTTATTTGAGTGGTGCCCTCAGTGTATTTGTTAGTTGTAGCGTCAGTGGTAGCTGGGGCGTGGGTTGTGATAATTAGCATATTTTCTATGCTAGATGGATTATCTAATGGATGTAGCTCAGCTGGTGCCTCTGTGGTGTTTACAGCGGTTCTTTGAGTGGTGCTCTCAAATATATCCTCAGTGGCAGCTGTTTGGGTTGTTTCGTTCAGCATATTTTCTATTCGAGTGGTATTATCTAATGGACGCACTTCACCTGCAGCTTCAGTGGTGCCTACGGCGGTTATTCGACTGGTGCTTTCAGTGGTTGTTTCAGTGTCATTTATCATGTTTTCTATGCTTGTAGAATTAACTAACGAATCCAATCCCATTATACTTTCAGTCGTGCTTGGCGTGGTTAGTCGAGTGGTGGTTTCGGTGGTTGGCGCCAGCGTTGTACTACTCTCCTCATAGCCGTCGATTATCCAACTGATTTTTATTGGCTTGGGCTTGGTCGGAAAGGCCGTGAAGTTGGCACCATCTATAGCTTCGGTCGTAGTGGTTGGGCTGAGCGTAGTAGTGGTTATTGTGGTTGTGTTGAGTGGGGTAGTGGGCCTTATGGTAGGACTAAGTGTAGTGGTAGTTGTGCTCGTCTGTGACTGGCCCTCTATATTCTGGTTCTTCTGCGTTGTCGTCTCATTCAGCCCATTGGTTGTGGTTGCCAGTGGTGGTGGAGCATCGGTTGTTGGCATTCTGGTAGTTTGGACGCTGAGCTGTTTCATATGGTTATCGGAGTGAATTGGAACTGAGTCCATTTCGATGTTTGGTATTGTGGTTGTCATAGTGGTTTCTATGGTGGTTTTATCAATTGCTCGCTCTGAGGTATGCACAATCTCTTTGGGCTTATCAAAACGATCCAAAATCCAAGTTATATGATCTGTTATGTTGTCCGAATCTGGCCCCTCAGTGGTAAGAACTGACAAGGGATGGCTGGTGGTGCTGGTAAAGGAGCTGCTGCTACTTGATGTGCTTTTGTCTAATGATGTTGTCGAAGTTGGCGAAGAGGCAGCGAAGCTAGTGCTACTGCTGCTTGTTGTTGTTTCCATATCCATTGTGGTTGTAGGCAATGTGCTCTCCATTGTTGTTGTTGGAAAAGTGGTTGTTGTTGCATTGTTCTGCTCCAGCATAGCTCTCGGCGTATTCTCTACATATGCCTCCTGCTCGTCGTGGCCGGGTCCGTCGATAATCCAACTGATCTGTGCTGGTTTTATCTTAACTCTATTGGGCTTCAGCGTCGTCTCCTCGTTGTCTCCATCGCCAGTTACGCTGCTATTTGTGAGTGGAGTGGTCACCTCTTGTGGTTGATGGACTGTTGTGTTCGTCGTCGTCTGGGCTGGTGCATATGGTTCAAACTCATGCGACTCGAGGCTGTGTGAGCCCAGGTGATCTCTTATGATTTCCTTCATCTTGTCGACTTTTTCGGTTACTTCCTTGGCCATCTGGTACATGCGCATGAAAGCTGACATGCAATCCTCTGGCGTCTGCTTCCTACACCTCACATACTCGGTTTCAAGCTGACTTAGCTTGGCTTTGGCTCGTTTGTTACGCATTCTTGTATAGAGTTGCTGCATGTTGGCCTCCAGCTGGAGAGGATCTAGTAAATCGAAAGACTCTAGACTGCGTCGGGATCGAAGCTTCAAGCGCTTCATGCGAAACTTCAAACGCAAATGTTTTAAGCGCAGCGACTGCTCCTCGCTCTTGGTGGCAATTGGCTCGGAATCAGCTTTCTTTAATGGTATACGAAAAGGTTCCAGTTGCGGGCCTATGAAGACCTTTTCATCAATGGGATGCACATTGCGGGCATGTTTCTGATTGAGCGACATTATTTGACGCAGCTGATCTGTATTTGAGGAGTTATATTATATATCTATATACTTTGATGAAGCTATTGCTGCTCTATTTACCCATGCGCTCCAGCACAATGCCATAATAGATTAGTGAGATGAGCAATGCGGCTATTACCAGCACGGATATGATCAGAATACGTGTGTAGGGCAGGCGAGATTGGCAGCGTTTTCGAGAAAGTCTTGGCGAACGCTTCGCCTCTAGTTCTGGGAAAGCGTAAAAGATTTCAATTTTCGAATTTATTCAGAAATTTTAAATTTTAATTATAATCTATATGGATTCCATCTATCTCTGCTCAAGAATTCCTAACAGCTCATTCTCTTTCATTCTTTCTCTCTCTTTCTCTTATTCTGTCACTTATTTTTTCTCTCTGTCTCTCTCTGTCTTTCTCTCTCTCTGTTTCTTAGGTAGTCTCTGCACTTTGTATGCCTCTTGACACAGTCTTTGCTCCACAGGCAGGGTATATTCCAGTCGACCCCTTCCAGATATATACGCAAATATTGTAGGCGTTAAGTTGAACTCATTTTAGGTTTGCTGTGCATTAAATTATGTTTAACAACTTATTAACTTAAACAACAACACCTCAACACTTTTTTTATCGAAAATATTTTTAATTTCTTTTCGTTTTTTATATTTTGGTCAGCGAGTTCTCTGCGGAGAGGTTTCGCAACTTGTAGAAATGCTGATGCACTAAATTGTCAAAACTGAACAAAATGAAAACATAAGCTTAAATAGCTGCCAAGTATTTAAAGTTTCTGTATGGCAATTTAGAGAAGCATATTCAAATCAATACACATATCTATATAATAATTAAGTTTAGGATGATTTAGTGTAATTTTTAGAGAAAGTTACGCAACTGAGCACATACCATCCAAACTTTGATTCATTTTGGTAAGATATAAATACAAAATATATTATATCAATTTATTATATGCATATTTCAATGCACTTTGCACAATTTCTATGTGAAATCTTTTTTTTATTTAATTATATTGCACTTTGTTACACTAGATTGTTTTACACAGCAGACAAACAAAAACAAAAAAACAAAAAGAAAAGGAAAGAAGGATCCAATTACAGAAATTCACTTAAACAAAAATCGGAAACGAATAATCCAAATTGGGCTGACCGACTGACTATAAGTTGTAGAGGTAGGTAACACACGATATAACGACGATTTCGAATGCGAGCGACTTCCGCGCGCTCCAAGCGGCAACTGAAGACATCGACGGAGCTGGCCACGCTTTTGAAGCTTTCGGAAAGTGGATCAGCTTGTGTGCGACCCACTTTGATGGTGGCGCATTTTGCTGTGCTGTGTACAAAATGCTTTGAACTTACAATTTTTTGGTTAATGAAAATGGCCATTGAAATTGCGAGCGGTGCACAAAAATGCGTCCAGAGTGCAAGTTGAAGGGAATGGCGAGGGCAACAGAGCAACGAACCACCCACCAGTGACCAACAACGCATCAATTGCAGTATCAATTTTTTTTTTTTTTATTTTAGATGGCAATGCCCCTTGTTGGGGTCGAGCAAGCCTTGAATTTTAGGGTTTGAGTCGTCATTTTACAAATTTTGTACACTAAAAACGTACAACAAAAATATTTTTTTAGTTAAAGACCTAGAAAAACAGACACGCAAATAAATATACCCGTTAATAAAAAAACCTCCATGAAAACTTCCGAGGAAATAGTCCAAATCAAAATTTTATTATCAGATTTAATGTAAGCAAAGTTTAACACATAATCATTAATGAAGTAATCCCTTTTCATCATTATTTAGATTTATAACGCAGAAATCACTCACAAAAAATTGATGCAAAATTCAGTAAAGTGTCTGCTTTATCAACTACTGCGATTAGTTCACCTTGCACAACGGGTGAGCAAGATGTGCGGTACAATTCTAATTTCTCAGCCAAGCCAGAACGAATGGTGAGTTATTTCGAAAGATATATCTTAAGTATAGCTTTAAAATAAACAGTTTTATAATATTCATTAGCTGCAGAAACTAACGAAGGAACATCGATTATTCGTTCAGGTTTCTTATCTTATTCAATTAACTTAAAAAAAAGAATACGATTTCGATAATTCGTTCATATCGAGCATTTGTAAATCAATATCAAAAAGTTATTAAATTATAGTCATTCTTCGTAACTATATAGGCCGCATCGGTGGCAGTACTTAGTAAATTGTAAATTAATAGGACATTTAAAGTGGTTCAGGCTAACTTGCTGTCTTCTGCCGGGATTGGCTTGCCAGAATATTGTTGTTCTTCATAGAGCAGTTCCATCAGCTGGCCAAATAGCTCACGACTTATGTTGCTACTGACGCGCATTAGCATAAACCAGTCGGCGCAGCTGAAATTACGCACGGCTCGTTTCAGTGTCGATTGTGGCATGAAGCGACTTTGCGCGCGCAGTAACTGAAAACGCAGACCCCGATGAAAAATGACGAGCAGGCGATAGATGATCTTTAGGCCTGCCAAAAAGGCCATGACTATAAACCAGATCCACATGAAAACAAAGATTTTCTCATTCAAATTGTTGAGCGGCAGTAAACAGAGATTATCAATTGATTCCAGGGTGCCGCTAGATCCGAATTTTAATATCTCGCATTTGGCTATTTTAGGGAATATGTGTGTCGTGATGCGGTTCCATTCATCCCAGTTATACGCAGGCACTGCAGCCACAGCCTTCACATAGCGCGACCAGAAGTCGTCTAAAAACACATTCAGCAAGAGCATGTTGACAATCTACAAAGAAACACTAATTAATCTAAGCTTTAAGTGAAGGAACTATTTGATTTTACGCTAATCACAAAGTTGCAAATTTCACAGAATATATAGGATATAAAGTAGCGGAGATGTGTGTCCTTATAGTCGTTAGTGAAGTATTTGGCCAGCTTGCGCAGATGCGTTCTAGTTTCATTTTTCGGCTCCAGCACATTATCCAGATTGGAGCAGAGAGTCTTCATGCGTCCGCCCTCCCAAACCTTCCATAGAAATGCAGGCAGGTAGAAGAAAATCGCTTGCAGCAGCAGGACAGGCACCACCCATTGATAATAACGTAGAAAGATGCGCTCTTGTCCGTTAGAAGCCATCAAAGAAGCCGTGTTATGTAATAGATTGCTATCTATTTCTGGCACATATTCACTCCTGAGAAAGTAGTCTTTGTAATCTTTTTCAATTATCTTCTCTCGTTTCTCCGCCAATTCGTCATCGTCGTAGTTCATTATATACATTCCCAGTGTCCAGCAATGGGAGTGTACAAAGTCCTTCTCATTCATATTTGATATGCAAATTAATGGATCACCGAAATATTGTTTTGCAGAAAGCAAAATTGTGAAAGCGACCAAAATGGTACAAGTAACTTTTGCATGGAATGTGAAAATAACATCATAAATGCGAACCGACTTCAGTTGCAAATATTTCGAAAGGGGCTTAACTGCCGTGAACATATTTGACACGATTTATTTGCAATATACAGTCAAATATGTTGTTTCTACGTTCTCTCTTAATTCACTCGCAAGACTTATTGAAAACACGCGGGACTATAACGGTTAAAGTGGTTACGGTGAGCAACTGTTGTAGGTAGAGATGGACGCTTAGGTAAGCGCTTATCGTGGAGCAATACTGTTAACAGAGGAGCAACTGTGGTATTTTTCTGTTATTGTCTCTGTTAATACTGTAAACAGCTGCTAATTCGTGCTTAACTCAATATAAATATAATGCAAGATCTGATGACTTAATAGTTATTATAAAATATACAAGTATTTATGTTACTTAATAATACTCTCTATTTAATATATAGATTCAGACTATAACACATAACAAATTACATACTTTTAACAGCAACTAGGCAAAATGTTAACACTGCAACACTGAGTTTTTAGCTGGTTCATTCGAACTTGTTCCAGCAACGAATCAGAACAACTATAAAACTCACATGTGTTTTCATATATCTTGCACCGTGCAGCTTATCCAACAGACGAATGAAGATGAAAGAGCAACAATCGTCCAAGCAGCAGGAGCGCAATGAGAAGAAGAAGAAAAAACTGGCAGCACTGGCAAATCTAATACAGATGAACGACAGGGATCGCATACATGAAACGGAGCAGAAACATCGCGATACCGAAAACGAAGACGAAATGGATGACGGCTTTGTCACAGTGTGCAGCAAGCGAAAGACTCGAAATCGTCTAACCCTGATAACGGATAGCAGCGGGGATTCAATCAACTCTGGTGCTGCCGCCGGGAATGCTGACAAGGACTCCGGGGAGCCTGAGAACAAACGCATCCGCAACAATTCAGCAGGCGGCGATAATTCGCTAGATAGCTTGTCGGCCACACTCACCCAGGAGCAATACAGATCTTTGTCCACGGATCTGCGTCGTCGCAAGCGCGAACTGGAGAGTGTGCCGGGCGTGCATCTTCGTGACATGGGCAGACGTGCACTTCTAGAAATTCCTCAACAGGAGCGCACGCCGATCTTTCTGACGGATATACAGCATTTGTTGATGTCAGCGCTCATAGGTAAGAAGAGTCCATGCGCACCCGATCGCTGGTGCTGTGCCGATAAGTTCCAAAGCCTATCGCACAGTGTGGTGCTCATATTAGATGGCCTCTCACTCTATCACTATATGTCGAATGAGAGCCGTTTCGAGGCCACCAATAGGATATTCGATACAAAGCTTGAAGTGGTGCTGCCACCTCATGAGGAGGGCAGGATCATTGATACGATTGCGCAGGTCAGTTGATTACATCTCTTATATAAACAGCTGAATTTAACTTTTATTTTCTTTTAAGATTCCACTTACCAATGTTCAGGCCCAGAAGTTGATTAACGAGCATGGCTCCCTTGAATCAGCTGTAGAGCTGAACAAGGATCCGACACTTTTCGTAAAGGCAATTTTCCCCATTGAGAAACAGTCGCCATCCACACAAGCAGAAGCAACTATTTTACATCCAGACGACAAGTTTCCGCGCACAAAACTTTTGCTCTCAGCATTGCAATTGGTTGACGAAGGCTACCCGATACCGTTGCAAGGCGAGCTACATGCCCGATTCAAGTCGTTTATTTTCACAAAGAAGTCGTATGCTCCAGTTACTGACCGCAGTCCCATGTACGGTGTAGACTGCGAGATGTGCCGTACAATAAGCGGTGAAAACGAATTGACGCGTATTTCCATAGTGGATGAAAAATATCAGACTGTTTACGAGACGTTGGTGCGTCCCGTCAACAAAATCACTGACTACCTAACACAATACTCGGGCATAACGGCTGACATTATGGAGTCTGTAACGAAGACTCTGGCAGACGTGCAGCAAGAGGTATCCGAGCTGCTGCCACCGGATGCAATTTTGGTTGGCCAATCGCTTAATTCTGATTTGAATGCAATGCGAATGATGCATCCGTATGTGATAGATACCAGTGTATGCTTTAACATAAGCGGTGTGCGCAAACGCAAGAGTAAGTTGAAGCACCTGGCCAAACGGTTCCTGCAGGAGAGTATACAGGAGAACGAGGATGGCCATGACTCCATTGAAGACTCACGCGCCACACTCAAGCTGGTCAAGATGAAACTGGCCAACAGCATTGAGTTTGGCGACGAGATTCTCACACAGCGCAAGCGCATCTATGACGTCATTCGTGCCACTAGTGGCGATGGCTTGCGCAACAATCTCTTTGCCCATGCCGCAAAACGGGATAAACGCACGGCTATTGTGACTGTTGGTGTTCTGCAGCCTCGTCTTAAGGAGGTCATTAGAAAGGCGGAGCAAGCTGCTTCAAAAGACAGCTGCAAATCGGTTTATGTGCACGAGGTGTCCACTACCAAGGAGGCCGTGCGCAAAGTGAACGAAATCGCGCTTGAGAACGCCCTGACCATTGCCAATCTTCTTGTGCCCGAGCAGGATTTTGTGCTAGAGAGTGCTGAGCGAACTGCTACCAAATTGGATAGTTTTATTGAACGAGTCTGGAACGCAATGGCCCACAATGGGTTACTCATGGTGCTCATGGGCGGCTCTTCTGAGTGTCAAAAAGGCGTGGCCAAAATTGCCATCAAACGCCGCAACGGCATCGCAAAGAGCGCTCTCATTACCACCGTTGCAACTGCAGACTCATAGACAGACGAGCAGTAGCTACCCAGGGACACATACACACACATCGTGTACGCTATGTACATGCAACCATGCAAAAATACAAAACACATAGACGAATAGAATAGTGTAGGGAAGTCAAAACAATGTAGCATACAAACCCAACGCCCAATACCCAATCAAACAATCATACGATCCAAGAATTTATAAATTCGCGTCCAATTTTCGCAAAAACCTTTGGTACATGTCGCAGCGCATCAGAATGTGAGCAATGTGCTAAACGCAAATTTGCTGTAATTTCCATCTGATGTAATGCAAACAAAAAAAAGGAAAAAGCAAAAAAAAAAGAAAAAAATACTTTTAGCATTTGTACATTTTCAATCGCGAGAAAACAGTATCAACGTAGGACTAAATTTTCCACAACAAAAAAAAATGTATAAAACTAACAAAAACCCAAAGACAAAAAATTTAAATTTTTACTTTTTTCGATGCAAGCCAATAAATCCACGTTGTTTGTAAATCAAATTAAGAATCTATAGTTGGTTCCGGTAACCAGAAACAGTGACACGTTTTCTAATGAAATCCTCAAATAAAGAAAACTAATTGTTATCAAACATGCATTGTATTTCCTCTGCATGATGGATGAAAAGATTGATATACATATGTTAAATATATAAGATGTATTCTGTAATTGAATTATACTTTAATACTTTTCAAACCTCACTCTCTTAGAATCGATACTTATTTAGTAGATGTGCGCTTCAACAGCCACTAAATTCCATGTTGGATAAACAATTATTTATTTATAATATATCCCCATCCTTTAGATAGTTTGTTTTCTTAACACTTCATCTTGCTTATTTCTTATTCTATAAAGTTTCACAGCTTTGTAATTTTTGGGAAAATTCATTACGAAATTATATTCTGTGTGGAGCCAGCAGGTTGGATGGCTCGTGTGCTGGGATTTGACCCAGTTTTCTTTAGTTTGTTTTTGTGCCGTTCCCGCGGGCTGCTTCGCTCTCTGTATGTTTGTGTGTGTCGCTGATAACAGCTATAAATTTCCTACCTCACTCAACGCAGCGCTCAGTTGTCTAGGGCCCACAAGACCTATCTCCGAAAAGATTGCCTCGTCGCCCACACACCCGCTCCGTCTCACTCTCTTACACACTCCATCTGTCTCTCTCCATTTCCCATAGTCACTCTCTCGCTCCCTCTGTCAGTCTGGTTGGCGGAAAAGCGAAAGTGTGGAATAGTTGTGCGTAGGCTCGTTGTCGTCGTCATAGCTGTGTCTTATCACACGCTCAAATATGTTGCGCCTTGCACTGAACGGCAGACGATTACTCATACGACCTGTGGGCAGTAGGCAGGCAGAGCAAACGGGCGCATAGTGCGCATGTCCGTGTTGGAAAAGCTGCGAGAGTTTTCCCCCAGCATAGTGCTGCCAGATGCTCATGTAAAATATGTCAAAGAAACTATTTTTTTTTAACAAATACAAACAGCTTTCACACCAAAACTTAATATTTATATATAGATAAATAGATTTATACGAACATTCAGTTAACAAATTAATTAATTCGTCTATCGTTGGGAGCAGAAAACATTTGTAGTCTTTGGCATGGAGGAAAACAGTGGCAACGCCAATTTGGGAAATTTGGTATGTTTTTCTTTTGATTGTTTTTGGCCGCGGATTGCTCAACTCTTGAAATGTCTGAGAGTCTGTGTGCATGAGTGTGTGTCTGTGTGTGTGAGTGTGTATGAGTGTGTGTAATCCTCATAAAGGCACACCAAATATTTTGTTGTATATACGCTTTTCGGCTCTCGAGCAGCGACGTTGTCGTAGCTGCCTTTCAAATTGCTCTGGCACGGCGCGCGCAAAAAAAAACCTGCTCGATAAATACGCGAAGAGAATATATAAATATATATTTTCAATATTCATGCTCTCACACATATATATATATATATATAATGTCTAAATGAAGATCGTCTGTGCTATAAACAAATGCGGCTTGTGTTTTGTTTAAACATTAATCGGGCATATTGCAAATCGATTCGCTTAGCGGTTTAACTCTATAAGTTTAAACGACTTGAAAAGGAATCAACGGCATTGTATTAATATATTATACGATTTGCAGCCATAAACTGGGGTAAGTTTCAATTGGCATCCGCAATCATAATAAAAGCGTTTAATATAAACATAAGCGAGCAATTGGCAAGCATAAATTGTGTATCCATAAGATACACAGACACAGGCATGGACACAAATACACCTACACGCGCAAGCGAAAAGGAAGCAAACGAGAGTTTATTTCATGTGTGTGTATATACGTAATGTGTGTGTGTGTAAAAACTCGTTCAGTGTGTCAGTGTTTCAGGCAGCGACAAGAACAGCAACAACATCAGCTGAGGCTGCCTTTCGTCTCGCCTGGCGCCTGGCGCATCGCGCATACGCCGCGTTGTCAATTGTTACTTTTCTGCCCATTGTTCATCGCGTCCATTTGGCTGCATCGCGCCCTTGGCACCAGTTGCCCGCACTCACATCGACATCATTATCAACAACAGCGACTGTCAGTTGTTGACGACCTCAATCCCCGCAAATCCTAACGGCCATCGTTGCGCACTTGATATTGGCTATTGGCCTAGCCAAGCCAGCACCCGCATCACACGCACACACACACACACACACACAATCTACACCAGGTTCATACTCTGCAATTTGTTCACAGCTGCCGCTGACTTTCGTGCCGCTTCAAATGAAAATTTGTTCGTTTGCTTTATTTCCCTTATTGTTTGACGCTGCTGTTGTGTGAGTGAGAGAGAAAGAGAGAGGGCGAGCGTGCTCCACATTCAGCCCCGCCACCTGCCCACCTCCCAAGCTGAACATGGAACATGTTGCGTAGGGCGGGCTTTGCTGAGGGTGAGTTTTCTTTTCAGTTCAAATTTGACATGTTTTGTTAGTCTTTGCTCGGTTGTTATTCCTTTCAGGTGAAAGTTTTTTGGCAAAAGATTTTATTGACTCTTTATTAGCGTCAGTTTGCATCATAAAGATTATTCGTATACATATAGTTTTTATTGATTTTTCGTTATGATACTTTTGCTACAATTGGGCTAATTTCCTAATGACTCAATTGTAGGCCTCCCGAAGTGTTTGGACTATTGACTGATTGCTCTGACACATTGCATCGTTTGTGTTCTGCCTTTGTTTTGATCTACGGCCAGGTCTATGGTTGAATTTTTAATTTCAGCATTTTGTCTGCTATACCACTTGGCATACAGCCAAAAGAAAAAACACCAAATTTTTGCCGGCAGTTTGAACTCGTCATTTGTTTTGCTCGTGCTCGATTACTCATTGCTCTTCGGCTATAAAGTACAGCAAAATATTGTTTTTCTCGTTATTAGCACTAGGTAGTATGGTATAAGTGAAACTACAATTTGATATGTGCAGTGGCACTATATGATGTCATTTTTGCACGCTGAAATCCTGCCATGGCTGCCGTAGGCCAGTGCCAAGCTCACTCCTCCGCTCTGTGATCTGCTATGACTCAGTGAATGTAGTCGTAACTTGGGACTGTGCAGTGTTTATAACATTTGGCGGGCTTCATAGCATTTCGTTATGCACTTGATGGCGAACAAAGTTCAATCGTGTTCTCCACGCAATTGGATTTATTTATGAACTATCTTAATGGTCATTAGGGCAGCTTTAATACAAAGACTAGTTTTAAGAACAAGCTTGCGTCATAGTTCTCGCTTTGCTTTAGCCAATTATAAATGCTTTTCTATAATTATATATCTTTATTCCGATTACTGGGAATTAGCGTATTGTAACAGTTTAAAGATCTGCGTGTGAAATATTCATTAGTTCTGGATATCATTTTCACTTTCCTTTTATTTAGTTCACATTTTATTTTGGCAAAATTTGAATGCATCGTTTTATTTATAGAGCTATGGGTTATCGCACTCGGCCACAAACTCGCTGAACTTTTTCTTGGCCGACCAAGTGTGTTATTTTTGGGGAATGAATTGGATGCCAAATTCTTGGTGCTCTATGCTATATACAGGTACATAAACACTCCCATTGATCATTAGGTAGATTTTCGAAATTTGCTACGCATTTCCCATACGTTTTTTCTCAATATTTTGTTTTGTTTGTATTTGTTTGTTTGTTTTGTTTTTTTTTTTTTTTTGTTGCGGGCCGGCACTTGGAAATAGTTGAGAATTTGTTTACGTTTCGCCGCCTTGTACATAATTATGTTTAATTAAACTAATTAAAAGGCTTTCCTACTTTGCTTCTGGTTGCTGCCTTTTGCATTTTGCGCTCTGCTAATTAATTTTCCCTATGAATACAAATATTTGATCTGTTACTACGTGTTCATGATAATGGCAATCGTAAACGGGTTTTAATGCTCAGCATCTGCTCGAATTTTACATGGAGGAGGTCGCAGCGTCGCGACGAGTCGGGTAGTTGCTTTGCCCACAAAGCCTGCCACTCAGCCGAAGCGTTGTCGAACGTGCACAGTGTCAAGGCAAAGCGTTCGCAACATTTAACTGATAACTGTAACGTCGCAGCAGCATCTGCAGCCGCTTCCGCTGCTATTCGAGGCAGCGACGACGCCAACTTATTAACAGTTTCAACTGAGACCCCCACCTTTCAGCCCAAGCATTATGTAAACATGTCTATAACTAAAGCGGCATTTAGCTATAGGGGGCTATTCACAGTGTGCATGCCGTGAGTCATTTCATCAATATAAAATAATATATATATATTTATATATATATATCAAAATATTAAATCATACGATAGATACATAGATACATAAGCAGATATAGATATAGATAAGGATATAGATTAAAATACAGTTACACCACCAGATAGACAGATACATATATAAATATATATATATATATATTTATATATATATATATATATATATATATATATATGTATATATATATATATATATATATATATATATATTTACATATACAAACTCAATTAGGTCGCCAATTTATCAAGCCACCCTCGTTTGTATGCATTTCTACTTAGGCAGCTGCAGCTTTGTAGCGCCTCAGATTTGCCACGTCCTTGGCTACTCATAAAGTTGCTGCTTTTAGTTTATCATTGCTATAGCTAAACTCTTCGTTTGTTATCTATAAAATATTTTTGCTCGTAATTCATGCGCAAACAAAACGCGTCGACGACAATTACAGCTGTAAAATATCACGCTTAGCTTGGGGTGAGGCAGGGGCAACAGCACCCACAAAACCCAAAACTGAAGCCACTGCCCCACCCATCACCCACGCTCACGCCCAGATCTCTGCTCTGCAATCGCTTCGATAATTTCAAAATCAAACATTGATTGTGGCTGTATTTCGTTTTTATTTGGCACAAAATTATCTATTTATCTACCGCTTGCCGTTTGCTGTTTGCTGTTTGCCGAATAAATGAAATTGATAATTGAGTTGTCCGTCGGCTGTTGAAGCGAAATACTTCTGTTCACATCCGCTGCATTCACTTCATCTGACATCTTCAGAAACTTGCTTTGTAATGCAGGTTAGGGAAATGATATAGATGAACTGAACTGAGCGCAAATATTCTCAGAAAATGATTAAAGTAAATGCTTATTTGTAAGATAATAATGAGCTACACAAAATATTGTAGATATGGATTATTGTATATGTTTATAAATATATCTTCGATAAAAAACAAAATATGAAAAGCGACTTCACAACTATTTTGCATAAGAGCTTAGGCATGTTAAGCTCAGTTATTCATAATACCTATGTAATATATTTCATGAGGTACAATAAAAGAGCACAAGATTTAACAACAATTTTCACAGACTTGGAAGATTTTTTGTATGCATTCGAATTCGTATTCGCTAACGTAAACTCAAGCTGCCCTCTGCTAGTCGATGACGCCTACGCCGACGTCGGTGCCGACGCTTTCATCGCCTGCGTATGACACAGAACAAGGCAGTCGAAATTCTAAGCTCGCGGCGGTTGGTTCGCACCCTTCGAAACAGTGCGGAATTAATAGACTTAATTAATTACAGAACTAAAAATTACAATATAATAAATTAAATAATAAAATGCTACTGCTACATACAAACACACACACGCACACACAGAGAGAAGTCAACGCAAAGCGAAAATAAATCGCATTTGATTGATTTGTTGGGAAGAGCCTTCGGTGATAAGAACCGTTAAAAAACTTTAACTATCGAATGTAAGAAATGCATGGCTAGAAAAAGATAAAGACTTTCAGTCTTATATAGACAGACATTGTGCGCAATTTGGATAGCTTTGGATAGCTTTGGATAGACTTCCCGCCCAGCAACCGGGCGTCATAAGCCACCCACATCATACTTCCAGGGGAGAGTTTCAATAAACAAAAGCAACGGCTTCAGATCATGATTACGATCATGGTGCTAATTCATCCATTGTGATTCACATAAAAAAATATGTATATAGTCTGTGGTCGGCTGGAGGCCAGGCAGCTGCTGTGCAGATAACGATACGTCGTGTAAAACGTTCAACATCATAAATTTATTTGCATACGATAATTTCTTTATTGTCGCCTTCGTATATATATTTGCTGTAGAGCAAATATTTAAAACACATGAGCATTACAGTCTTCGGGGGAAATGAGTACTCGTCTAAGTCAGAACAGTCCAAGGGGCAGCAGCAGAGGCGATGGGTAACGCGTTCTGTTTTTCATGTTCAACTCGTTGTCGATGTCGACAGCCGGCATCAGCTTTAGCTTACGTTGTCTTCCTTACAACTGTTCAAACATACTGTGTTTTTTTTATATTTTATTTAATATTTGAACTTTATTTTCATTTTGCGAACTTCTTGACAATCATGGCGTGCCGTAATTAATTTTGTTTGCATTGTACTTAAAGCAATAATAACAACAACAGCAATGGGCGAATCAAACTGTGATAAAAATTGTCGACTGGTGGTACACACGACGCTAAGGTGGGAATAGGCAGCGTTGTAGGGCGGCCTTTTTATTGAATCTACAGTTCCGAGACATGCGTAAGGAAGAGGGGAAGTGACTTTACTTCTACATAGAACTGCTGACCAGAACTCTAGTAAGAAATTGTGTGATGTTTTCTTTGTTGAAGAATGTTAATCTCAATCAACTTATACTCTATATGTGCAAATCGGGTGCTCTAGACATTTCTATTAGCTCAAAAAGTTTACAAATGCTAAGCATAAATTTAAGATAAAGTTTAATGTAATTCTGATAAGTGCATTCGTGACGGGTTTTATGTTCTTTTTTCTGTGGGTAACAGTTTTTTAAGCCAACTTTCAGCAACGTCCATATGTACTTTACATGTACTTCACCTTAAGGGCACATAAAAGTTGTTGATAGTGCCTGCTAATAAATCCATATATATATTGTGATATGAATTACTCAATCGACTGGATGCGCTTGAGCTCTGTTGACGTTTGAAACTTGAAGGGTATCAGACAATGTGGCCCTACTGTTTGATAGTTTTTCGGGTGCCTTATACAATTTTTAGGCTGTCACACGGTACTGTATCTGACTTGTAGCGTTTTGATATGGCCGCGATTGTGGGCCCCATGATTTATGGGCGGGAATGATGTATTACAGCCAGGTTGGCGGCAATCAAACGATTGACTGTGCGGTATGCAATCGATTGACCTTTACGCAAAGTTTGATTTTGGCATTTTTGTTTTAGCTCGAGTGTTAATTATTTGATTTACAATCGCTTGGAAAATTCAGCTATTAGTAATTATAAATGGACATTAAACGATTTGTATGCTCAAGTGCAGTAATTGAGAGATAAAGCAAGAGTGGTAAAGTAAAAGTGGTAAAGTAAGAGGCACTTATCGTTAACTGGGGCTAATGGCGAAATAAAAATATGTGGTATTTCCCCTTAGGCAAAATTTGTTGCTATAATAGAAGAAGTTTGACTTACCCGTCACGAAATAACTTTTTTTCTGATTCCTAACCAATTGGACTTAAAAATATTGGTCGTAGATAAGCGTGGCAAGCTTACGAAATGTCAAGCAAAGCTACTTTGCATAGATAAGGAGAAATAATATGAGTTCTAGGCATTCCTCATTACTCTAGTACGGCTTAGATAAATATTTGTATATTTATTAACAACATTTATATTTACTCTTCTGGAATGAGGGAGTTAATTTGAGTTAAAATATTGCAAATTGCTAAAGTCGATGGTGTTTAACTGGCAGCTGCTTCAAACTTGTATTTGCGCGACTTTTCTAGTATATATTTTTTACTTAAAGTTAATTTTGTGGATGATAATCGCGGTTCTTTTTATAAAAGTTATTTTTACTAGTTTAAAAATCTATTTTAAGTGATCGATCGACAGTCACTTAAAATTGAAATTGAATTGAAATACATTGTTAATATCTAAACGTTTCAATTCGTTTCATATTAATCGAACTCACATTTTTATCTCACTGCTAACGTATAGACAAATAAACTTCTGGAATCTTCCTTTCAGTTGGCCAAGAGGCGGCCTGGCAATAAGAATCGCCAGCATACCTCACCCAGCTACTTGGAGCAACAGTTGACCAAAAAGGAGCGCACCACCAACTTTCCATTAGTGGGTGCTTTGGTGCACAAGGCGCTGCAAGTGCGGGACACCGAGCCGTACGAAGCAGTTGCGCAGCTAGGACACACAGAGCAGGTGAAGCAGCCGAAACAGCCAGAGCAGATAGTGCAGTCGGTGCAGCCAGAAAACGAACAACTCTCCCATATAAGCAACAACAGCACCAGCAGCAATAATAACACCACCACCAGTAGCAGCAGCAGCTGCAGCAACAATAACAACAATAACAACAATAGTAACAACGAGGGCGACGTAAATTTAAGCTGTAGCATGGTGTTGCCTTTTGGCCTTGGCCCCGATGGCCATAACGCAGACGCCATACAGACTGCACCAGCGCCAAGTGCACCGCCGGCTCATTTGATGGGTCCGCAGTACGCGATTGGTCAGACAAATATTTACACAGGTGTGCCCATCATCGTGAATCCCTACATCGATTTTATTGTGGTCAATGGCGAGGATCGATATATGATACGCTGCGAGCGGAAGTCGGTGCTCGAGCGTAGCGTTGAGTTGGCCAAATTAATACACGCCGGCCCGAATAGCGGGCGCAAAGGCGATAATCATTTTCAGATCTCAAACGTTGATAAGACCGACTTCGAACTGATTGTACGATATATGGAAAAGCATTGCATACCCTATAGCGATCACAAGCATCTGCTAAAAATACTCGAGCTGGCGGATCGTTTCAACGTGCCCGATCTGGTGAGTAGATACAAATGTGTGAGAGGCCAAGCTATTACTATATATATTGCGTACATCTTTTATGGCCAACTCAGATAATTTACTGCATTCGTGAACTTGATCTCAGCATTTCGAGTGCAACTGCCTTGGATATATACAAGTCGCTGTGGTTCTACCAGGGCATTGCGCTGACCAACCAGCACCAGACGGTGATCACCACTCACAAGCAGGCGTCGAAGGCGAAGGCGGCGGCCAAGCAGGCGGCCGCCGCACAGGCCCAGGCCAACGTGAATGGCGCCGATGGGGACGGGGCACAAGTCAATCTCATACCCAATCCAAATCCGTTCACCACCGAAGATTATGGCGTGGCGTTGCTGCACAACACGCTACAGTTGATCGATATGCACGCCGAGCTGCTCCTCTCCATGCCGGCCATTCTTGAGCTGCGTTTCGAGGAGCTGGAGACGCTGGCCAAGCGCAATACGCTGCAGCTGCGCTCCGAGGTGACGCTGTTCGAGTGCCTGGCCAATTGGAGTCTGGCGGAATGCCAGCGCCGGAAGCTCGATGCCACACTTGACAATCGCCGCATGGTGCTCGGCCCGCTCTGCCTGGCGCCTCGCTATCTGCGCATGACTCCGGCTGAGTTTCGCAGTTGTTGCGACCGCATCGAGCTGCTGCCGCCTCTGGAGACTTCCCTCATCCGCGATGCACTCGAGGGTGAGTATAGCAAATGCTATTAATTGAAATTTATAAGTTTAATCAGCATCTCTCTCTCCCTCTCATTCTCTTGCTGGTTGCAGGCCAAAAACTGAAGAACCTCACAGATCAGCAGTCGGAGCTGCTGGAAAAGTTTCGCACACCACGCGCTGAATACGCCCGCATGCCAGTCCATCTGAGCGACCGCAGCTGCCCAAAGAACTATCCAAAAAAGATGCGACGTGCCCATGAGGGTCGATCCACCGAGGAGGGATGCTGGGAGAAGGTGGGCATCAACTGCCTGCGCGTGTTCGTCTGCATTTTCGATTGATCCGGCGGCGCAGATGATCCTCAATAGACTTTTTTCATTAACGAACATTAGCGCTTATGAGTTACATATATATACATCATATATAGATATAGTTATTAAATATGATTGTTAGTCTTATGGGCAATACGTTTACACAGTTACCAAAATGTTGGCCACGGCTAGCGGGTGATTTTATAGCTGCTGTTTCTAACATACTATATACCATATAGAATATGTAATATATACAGTATATATATATATTATATTGTGTTATATATATATAGCAAATGTATTTACTATTCAAAAAACACACAAAACAAAAAACTAACTAAACAGGAAAACAAAAACAACTTTTATACAAACTTTATGCAACGTTTTGTAGCTGGACTCAAAAAAAAAATACAAACAAATTACTTAACTATAGGTATATAATAAAAACATAATACTGATAAGCATTTATCACTGATATATAAATAGAAAAAAAACACAAATTATATACTTATATATATATATATATATATATATATAAATATATATATATAGTTAATCAATCATCAATTGATAAATCGCAAAAATAGTGCAAATTTCCAGTTTCAGAACCGTTCATCGCTAACATTGTTTATTAAATGTGTGAGTGGGCATGAACATATATATGTATGTGAGTGAATGTTATTTTAACTGTTGTGCACATTTGTATAAATGGAATTACGAACTTTGTTGCTGTTGCTTTAGATCCTGTTACGAATCGCATAGATAACAATAACAATCAGATTAGCATTAATCATAGTCGAACACTTATGTCAATATTAACATACATACACAAACACACAGCCACGCAAAATGTTAACAGAATTATGCATTTTATTAGTTAAATATGTAAATTGCACAGAACAAAAGGGCTGCAAAGCAAGATGCGGTTTCCTGGCTTTCCATACAGATAATGGTTATCCCTTGCAAGGCACAAAACCTTTGTAAATCTAGCCAAATTTAGTTAATGTTAATTGGAGTTCCAGGCTCGAACTGCTCTGGTTTTAAACCACTTTGCAGCCCTGCGTTTTATCTTAAGATTTGTTAATTAAAAGGAATTATTTACGCTTCTGTCACGCATATGTTTGGCATATTTTAGCGCCCTGGCATACTACAAAAGTAGTTCAATAAAGTATGTACAGCGTTTTCTAAAAAATATTTCAATGTTTTCTTTCTTTTGCTGGTAAACTTAACAGTGGATGCTGAGAAAAAGCTTACTTCAATGTTAGAGCTAGCGAAGCCTCAAACCATTTATAGAGGGGAAAAAGCTTTTGGCAAAGCTTTTATCGACAGTTTGTGAGGCTTCAGATATTTGCTTTTCTTTTGCACTGCCAGGAATAAAGGTATTTGTAATATATTTATATATGCACTTATTTTAAATTTTTTATAGAATAGAAATGAATTTGTTTACTTATATTTCTCATATAAATTTATATACAATTAATTTTTTTTTTTCTAAAATTTAACACTTATTTAAAGTAAAATTTTGGACACTTATTGCAGATAGTTTTTAAATTTGAATCACTTTCATGATTAAAATAGTAAAATAATTTGATTTTAATACATAACATTTAATTTTTGAGGATATATTTCGTTTCCGAGTCTCGCCTGGCTTGGCTTGGCCTGGCCTGGCCTTGCCTTAATACAAAGAAGCTTGGCCAATTTTGATGCTCTTAATGCCAAACAACCTAAGCAGCAGCTACAAGGCTCTTCACTTGTTCTGTGCATTGCGCAGAGCAGATGTTTGGGAGTACTTTTATTTCCTCTGCACCTCCATCCAACACCTACACAGAGGGAAAGATATGCACACCAACACAGAGGCACACTTAGTTATACACTAAGCTGACCGCTGCCGGCCAAGTATAGTCCAGATGCTGGACTGTGCTGCCAGTTAATGTCGAGCTGCACACAGTCAGAAATACGCAAACACACATACACACACAAGCACACACACACATATATAGAGATCTTTCCACTCTCAGCATTAATGTGGCATACATTTGGGGGCACACCGCAAATGCACTTGTCCAAGCACAAGTCTGTCCAAGCTTTTTAACTCACACGCATACAAATGAAAAACAAAAATACATACTCACATACTCACATACTCACACCCACACACACACACACACACAGTTGCAAACTGCCATTTTCCACTGGTTGTCGTGCAAGCGCTGCAAAATTTATGATTTTATTTCACGCTTGCTTTTCATTAATGTTGCCTTTTGTTGTTGTTGTTGTTGCTGTTGTTGTTATTTCTGCTGCCTGCCAAAAATTATAACTTCTTTTTGTTGTTGGACTTTTCCCTGTGCTGCGCTACTCTGCTGACGCTTGTTAACCTTTTTCTAGTTGCTTTTGCCAAACATTTTTTTCTCTCCCCATGCTTCGTCGTCTGCTTCTTCTTTTCTACTAATTTTTGCGCACAGGCCCTGGCTGCGGACTGGGCTATGGAGGCGTGTCCGCTGCGCCCTAGAGTCAAATTTCCGCAAAAGTTATGCAGCAGTCGCCACGGAACAGGGAACATGTAGCAACAGCACATTTTGTAGCCATTTCATGTTTTTTTCCTGTTGCAACATTTTTATTTAATTTGTATTTTTTTATTTATTTTTTGTGTGCCATTGGCTAAGCGAAAAGCAAATTGAGCAGGGATGAGGGGCCTCAGAGGGCGCCGTGGAGGGGCAGGTGGCAGCTCAGTAGGAGCTGGCAGGTCAGGCTGATGGTGCACTGCCTGCAGGCAGGCGGCTAGCTGACCGCATATATAATTATTTCAAATGAAACATGTATGGAAGCCCGCCAGTGCCACACACACACACACACACACACACAAAGTGCGCCACGCCCCTTCGCTCTGCTGCGGCTCGTTGACCAAGGCAACTCAACTCAAGGCAGCACTCGCATATTTTGTACAAAAATCAGCAAAAGTGAATTAGTGCAGAGCATGGGAGGTGGGGCAGGGAGGGAGGGAGTGGACGACAAACCTGCAATGCAGTTGGTCGCCTAATGAAAATTGTTGTGAAATAAATCATTTTAAATAATTTTCATTTCTACATGTGGCTTCACACATACGCACACTCACACTCTCACACACGTGTGTGTGTGTTGGCTTTTTAAAGTTTAAATTGAAATGAAAGCCAAGTAACTGCAATGGACTTTGTACTTTGCCTGTTACTTCAGCCGTGTCTAACTTTTTTGCAGCTTGCTAAATTGCGCTAACTGACCAAAGCGGAAGTTTCAATTACACACACACACATACCCTTATCCACAGGCACACACACACGCACTCAATTTGAGTTTGTGTTAGGGTCATGCAAAGGGAGGCAGCTAGAACTGCATTTTTTTACTGTGTGTATGGTAAGGGGCAAGGCAGGGGTGGGAAGCTGCCCATCAGCATTGACCTACACTGCGTATGCGTGCTTTGATATGACGCATACGCCCCATGCGCCGCCTGGTCTTGTCGCAAGGCCACAAATCTGCGTTAGACCAACAACAAAAAGCGACTGGCGCTCGTTGTGACCAAATTATAGCATAAAGTTTTGCACATTACTTGCAGCACCCCACATGAATTTAATACCCTATAATTTAGGCGCTCACTTTGCATTCATGGGCCACACGAACCGCATTAAGCAAAAAACTCTGAAACTTAATGTGCTGTTAGCGCGCTGCACTTGTTAATAAACGTACGCACTACAGGGTATCAAATAGGCAGCGGCTTGGCAAAGGGGAAAACGAGAGAGACGAAGAAAAAAAAACAAAGTATACTTAAAACGGATATTACTTTATCAAGCGGCATAAAAAATGAGGCAGTCGGCCGAATCGGAGTCGAGGTTAGGCTCCTAGTCGAGGGCGGAAGCAATCAGCGAAATTTATTGCAGAGTCTCCTTTTTGGCGTAACTGATGAAGTGAGAAACTGAAAGACAGTCGAGGCTAAGTCACAGGCAATACAAAATGTTCGCTCGCTGTGTCGGGGGCAGGCAAGGACGCGGCGAAAGCCGTGCTGCTCTGAGTTGGACGGAAACGACAGCTGCTGGTAACTGTACGAAGTACCGCCCCAACAGGAGCGACCCTCGTTGTGGCAGCTTCATCTGCTTTCACATTTCTTGTGGCGTGCTGCTTTTTATTGCTTTATTTTTGTGCTTTTAGCTGCGCGCCGCTTTAGTCTAAAAAGCACTTGGAAATGTGCTTATATACCGCTTACAAGCACACACACACACACGCGCAGCTATTTGAATGCAAATGCAACAACCGGAAATGAAACCGACAATGCCACTTATTTATCTTTGTACTTGCGGCTCTGATTTTGTTGCGGCTTCAAGCTATATCAGGTTGTTGTTCCTGTCAGCTGTTGTTACTGTTGCTGCTGCTGCTGCTGCTGCTGTTGTTGCTGTTGTTGCTGTTGCTGCTGCTGCTGTTACTATTGTTGATTTTGTTGTTTCATCTGTGTGCTCGCGGCTTTTTAATTAAACGATTTAGTTTGTTGATTTAGGCAGCCGCATAAATTTTAATTGTAAATAATTAGCAAAAGCCCCAACTGCCCCACCACCTCCCTGTCCTACGCCAAAAAAACGCACTTTTCAATTTACATATTTATGAAAAAGAGCAATTAAAATTTCATTGGAGTTTGCATTAAATAAAAGCATAAAAAAACATCCAAAAAAATAACTTTTGATTTTTGCTTTTTTATTTTTCTTCTTTATTGTTGTAATTCGCATAGTCCCAGCTGGCTGGGCAACAATGAATTGGGTAGACAAATTTAATTATGATATGAAATGTATTTGTTTGCTCATTTATTTATTTATTTATTTGCCTTGTTGTTGATAGTTAGTTTGCTTGTTTATTTGCTCGTTGTTAACGCCAGCAACTTAAAGAGCTGCTCTGATTTTGTGCATAGATATTTAAGTGTTCATATTGAAATAACTTTATAAGCAGCTAAAATTGTAAAAACCGAATATAAAAAGTAAAAAGTTGATCAGCTCGCACTAAAAAGAATGGTTCGTTGTTAAAGAGCTCAGATCATAAAAGACAATAATCATCAAAGGAACCAAGAGTCTCTGCCTGCCCTCCCTCCGTCTCCCTCTCTCCCTGGCTCTCTATGCGCTACAAACTGCATATGAAAGTTGTTAAAACCTATTAACGAGCATTAAAATAAAGCAGAAAGAGCTGACCGACCATAAAGAAGGGCAGCGCATGGAGCTGAAGCCAATGCCCATCGTCGTGTTGAAATGAAATCATGAAAAAATATTCATTGATTTTCTTAATTAAAAAATTTTGCCATCAACTTTTATGTTTATTGGCTTGACTTTGGTCGTTTGTTGTTGCCAAGATGCCACGCCCACTCACTCACTGCTTCTCATTAGAGCCGTTTGCTGTAGGTTAAGCATTGCATTGTCCTCGCTAGCCCTGGCTGGCACTTTGCTCTCTTCCTGCTTTTTGCGAGCGCTTCCTGTGCGCATTATAAACTAATTACAGATTATGATGAAATCGTACGCCGCGCCGCGCCGCGTACGCCGTACGCCGTATGCCACCAATCGCCGACAATATGCAGAGGCGCCGATGGGCGTGGCGCCACGTTCGCACTTAAGTTTTGCCTACGATATTAAAGTCGATTAATGAGATTTCATTACACTGCAAGCTAACGGCAATCGCACGTAATTGACAGCCTAATGAGATTTGTTAAACGGATTGTCACGGCAGCGCTAGTAATTGCCAAAAAAGCAAATCAAAACTGAAAACTGAAAACTGAACACTGAGAATTGGAGCGAAATCGAATAGGGAACAAAAACATTTGCTGTCAAAGCTGCGCCCGTTAGGCTGGTCTTTTGGATAAAAACGATTTGAGCGCCATCGAGCAGCAGAGCCAGCCGCCTGCAGTTGTTGCCTTTTCTTGTGGCTGTTGTCCCTATCAATTATGCAGCCAAAAATGCAAGGCACAACGTAAACAAACATTTTACCAACAACATCATCAGCGGCAACAACGGCAACAACAACATTTCGTAACTTGTGCAGTCCTAAACGTAGTAGGTCAGTAATTGGAGATGCCGAATCGCTTTGCAGACAAGAGAGCGAGAAAGGAAGAGAGAGAACGGCATACAGAGAGCGCGCGAATACGTAACTCCGTTTTTAGTACAAAGAGAGCAGCAGCAGCCAGCATCCAGCGTTCGGGTGCACGAGCGGGCGAGTCAGAGAGTGAGCGTTGTAAAAGGGCGACAAAGCAACTTTGTTGCTTTGTGGTCCTCGCTTGATGCTGGGTCTCGTGTTACTGGGCAGCTTAGGCGTTTTTAGTGCTGATTACAACGCGTTGACGATTGGTTCATGTGCGCGGACAAAAGAAGTGACTGCAGAGCAGACTTCAGCCGAAGCAGCTTCTGTGTGTGTTCCCTGTGAGGGTGTGCGCGAGTGTGTGTGTGGGTCCATGCGTGCGTGAGGGCAACGAATGACTCGCTCGAGGGTTGAGGGCAGCGCGTGCTTTTAGTTAAAGTCAAGCGTGCTCAAGTTTTAAAGTGCGCCGCAAGCAGCTCGCTCAAAGGACTCATCGAAGCTCCTGTAGCTAGACTTAATTCAATTCAATTAAAATTAACTCAACATTCTTAAGCTAAGCAGTTAGTTAAAAGTTAATCAATACATAAATTACACATCAATAAAAATACACATAATACCTATATAAATATATACACTTATATATTAGCTAATCAACATTATAAACTAAGGTAATCAACGCAATACGAAGCCACGCTTTAACGATAAAAAACAATCAAACTCTTGGCAAAATACCAAACGCGCAGTTGAGCAGGCAACGAAGTCTTTGCAAGCTGCCACGCGCTCAATAAGGGACAACAGCTGCCTCTGGTTGTTGCAACAAATTAAGGTAAAAACATACCCGAAAGTTACACAAAAAACGCGCATTCGATAAAAAAAAAAAACAACAAACAACACGAAGAACTTACAAGTGGAAAATTCTCACCGAATTTGTAGCAAAAGCAAATAGCAATACAAAATGCATTCGAGGCTAAAATTCTTGGCATATTTACATTTAATGTGCGCTGGCAGCATTTGTTGGCTGGAATTTAGCGCAGCTCAGCAGCAGCAGCAGCAACAACAGTTGCAACAACAATCTGCATCGTTAACCGAGAAAATACCATTAGGTGAGTATCAAAAGCAACGCCCGAGGCAGAGCCAACAGGCAGCACACAGCACACAGCTTACATCACACAGCATGCAGCAGGACCAAAAAGGACTCGCTGCAGTTGTCGCTAGAATTTTGCTACAATGTGTAATGGCAATGGTTATGGGTGTGATTGTATTTCTGTGACTTCAGCCAGGCATGCTGCACGCTTGCTAGCATGCATGCCTGCCTGCTTGCCGGCTGCCTGTCTGCATGCATGCGCCTCTACGACTATATGGAATGTGTTCCCACAATTCGTTTCAGTATCCAATTAGACTTTTTTTACCTCCCCGTTGAAAATATGCGAGCAATAGAGCAGGAATATCATGCTTAACTTAGTCAACTTCTACGCTAAGCTTAGTTGATTGGTTTAGAAGAGAAAAACGAACAGATCTTGGCCATATATTTTATTCATATGTTTAATATATTTTTAAAAGTTATTTTATTATTCTCAGAATGAATAAACTTTTGTTCAGTATCAAATTAAATCCCATTAAACAATAACTTTAATAATTTGTAGTTTCAAGCAGAACATGCTAAAATTAATTCCTCGATTCAAAAAAATATTTTATATATACTTTTATATATATGTGGTATGCCTTTCATTACTAATGAAATTAAATGTTTAAATAATATATATATGTATAAATTAATTACTTTTAAAAGTTAAATCAATTTTTGGGCTCGTATTATATAAATAAATATCAATGTAAATAAATTAATTTAATATATAAAAATAATATCCTTAAAATAATAAATAAAAGTAAATTTAATACTTATTGACTTTTGAAAAAAATATGAGGTAACAAAAGTTAATATAATACAAATTTTTTATTAAATATTCTCATTAATATTATATATAACTTAATTAATTACTTTTAAAGGAAACACCTTTTAGGGTTTGCATTCAATAATAAATATGAAATACAATAAATAAAAATATTAAAATAATCTCATTAAAAATATATATAAATAATATCTCAATTTTTAATTAATACATATATTTTTTGGTCTTAAAAAATGTATTTAATAATAAAAATAAGTATAATAAAGTAAAATAATATCCTTAAAATAATGCAAATATTTTTGAGCACTGTTCTTATATATTTATATATATTATTGATATTAGATTTTATTTAAGTTGTTATATTTCTTACGCTTCTATTATAATTAAACTTAAGTAAAGTTGGCATAAATAATTTTTATTGATGATATTTTTATTACAGTTTTGTTCCCGCATTAATTCAATTGACCAATGCGCTCTTTATTTTAATTTGACTTACATTTTTTGGGCCTGGCTTTAACTATTCATCACTTTTATAGATGAATTGCAATCAATTTCGCAATTTACATAATTTACATATACATATGTATATGTATGTACATATAGGGCATGCATAAAAATAATTGGAACTGTGGCGTTATAGCTGGCAGGAACCCGAGCAGCAATACAATTTAACGTTATTTTCTGCATTTTTTTCAAATGTATGTTTTGTGCATTTTATTTTCGCGCTGCGCTGCGCTGCTTTATTTTTTATTACGCTGTGGCACCTCAGTCACGGTGCCTGCAGTCATTTTGACTGCTAGTGTGTAGGTGTTTGTGCATGTGTGTGTGCGTGTGTGAGTGTGTTTGGCTATGCTGCTCGCTGTGCTAATGTGACAGTCATGCTGACTGGCTTTGGCTTTGGCACACGAAGCTGTTCACCTGCTCCTGTTGCAGGACTCCAGCAGCAGCAACACCAGCTCCGGTTGCAATTTCTGTGGCTGAGGCTCTAGCTGCTTGCTGCCAACAAGGCAAAAGCGCAGTGTGCAAAATTGCAGCATCAACACTTCGTTTGGCATTAGAGTGCCTGCCTGTCATTGTGTGTGTTTATGTATGTATGTGTGTGTGTGTTGTACTATCATTTGTGTAAATATTTATTCAGTGCGCTTTCGTTTAATATTAAGAGGACTGTGTCAAAAGCCGCCTAAATATTTAACGAAGCAAAAATATTCTATATTCTCTAACTATGTCACTCTCTACTCTTTCTGTCTCGCTCTCTGTCTCTCCCACAGGCGCCATCTTTGAGCAGGGCACGGACGATGTGCAATCAGCCTTTAAATATGCAATGCTCAATCACAATCTGAATGTCAGTGCGCGTCGCTTTGAGCTGCAGGCGTATGTTGATGTCATCAATACGGCGGATGCATTCAAATTATCGCGCTTGAGTAGGTGTTGCCACGCCCATACGCAGCCACTCCCATATCCTACCAGTTACACACGCACACAAAAAAGCAAAACAAATACAATAAAATGCGAGCACTCCCACTCAATGCTTTGCTCCGACAAATCCCCATCCCACAGCGCTCGTCTGCATTAATTATGCGCATTTTTATTGAAAATTGCAACCTCCACCTTTCCTACACCTGCCACACTTGCCACACCTTGCCCTTACAGCCGTTTAATTGCGCACATTCATTTACATCACGACCTAGACACTGCTGCCACACAGCAACACTTTGCGACCTACCCCAATACAAGCACAACTCCCACCTCAACCTTTTGAACCGTCGCGTTTTCCACTCGCTGCTTTTCTTATTTTCTCACTTTTCCCAAAAAAAAGAGGAGAAGAGAAGAGAAGAAGCAGAACACACAAAAATTTATTGCTTTAACCTGCAGTTTGCAATCAATTCTCGCGCGGAGTCTACTCAATGCTGGGCGCCGTATCGCCGGACTCGTTTGACACATTGCACTCCTATTCGAATACGTTCCAAATGCCATTCGTGACGCCCTGGTTTCCGGAAAAGGTAAGTTCCAAACGCCACCCAATAAAAAAATAGGAATGTCATACGTAATTGATTTTGTGTGCAGTTATTTACATTTGATGTGGTTTGTCGCCAGCCACCCAGAAAGAGAAACCGACGCGTGATATGAGCCCCTGCACAAAGCAGAGAGTCAATAAACTAAGTAACACACATACATTTCTAAACATGACTGTGTGTGTGTGTGTGCTGATGAGTAATGAAGTTGCCTGAGGGCTTGGAAAAAGGGCAAACGCTTGTAATGAAACAAAGAGAATATGTGGAATGCCTCTGTGTGCGCGTGTGTGTGTGTGTGTGGAATGTTGTTGTGCGGGAGAAATTATAATTAAAGCTCTTCATCAGTTTTGTGAACCTCTAGAGAAATAATGAAAAATATAAAAAAAACTTATATTAACACTAGTGTTCAGGAATGTGAAGAGTTATTTATTCGCCCTAAAAGTCTATTAACAAATATTTCAATTAATAACAGAACAAGGAATGTTTAAGAAAAGTTTAATTAATAAATTCAGCTACCAAACTAGCTACGAACTTAAATGAAAGAACAATATATATATATATATATATATATATATCTATATCTATATCTATAAATCTATATCTATATATATATATTAAATATGCCAACAATTGAATTTTGGCCAAGAGCAAAAGAGACAGACAGTTCATAGAAATAAGAGATGAAGCTCTTCAGCCCCCAGAGAAATTTCCGTAAATAACTATTCAAGAGATTTTCATAAGATCTCGTCATGTGTGCAGAACGAAAGTCAATTAAGAAATATTTGCGCAACTGTCAACAGAATATGAAATTGAAATCATTGTTTTGTGCGAAAGTCGTTGAACTAGTTCGGCTTTATGAGCCAGTATGAGTAAACTGAACTGGCATAAAATTGATAAATACTGAATGGAAAATTGATATAAATTTCGGCCACAAACAAATTGACGTTTGCATATTCACATAAGTGAAACAAAACATAAGCTGAAATGCAAAACTGTGGAAAAATTAACAAAAATACGAATCGAGAGCAATCAAAGTGGCAGCCCCACAACTCGATTATTCTGGCAACGCTCTAGCATTGTAGCTAAATGTCAAATGCAAATAAATCGAGTTTCATTTCGACCGACAACAGATTGAACAACATTTCCGTCAACACACTTTTCTCTCTCACTGTGTGTGCGTTTTTGTGGCAACAGACTGTGAAATTTCAAACCATTTAATTTGGGTCAATAGGTTGCTGGTTTATGGTAGCATAGCAATTATGGCTGACAAGCCCCAAAACATGAAACACTTCAATAGACCAATTGTGAAAGGTTCCATAAAGCTTGGAGTGCATTTGCTGCTTGACGACTCTTTTTTTCTTAGCTGCTGTCCATAACTTTTCACACAGCTCACTAAACAGCTTAAGCTGCACTTTATGGTGTGTATTGAATGGGGTGGCACTGCGGCATGGGCACGGTCAGGGGCATGGTCAGGATTGAGTTCTTGCCCCATTTCTAATTTAAGCATCAAGCTGCAGTAGTTCAGGCACTTTGGGGCAGCCAATGGGGGACCTACACACACACACACATAGAGCTAGAGTTTATAAAAATGAAGCCATAACACAAAGTGGCTATAAGAACACAGATACACACACATGCCCACAGCTGTTGTTGTGGCTGGCAGACGCTGCACTAAATCAAAAGCAAAGCACAAATCATAATAATTGTAATTTGAAGAAAATTTACTACCAACAACAGAGGCGACTGGTTGCTGGCGCTGTTGTTGTCACTGTTGTTGTCACTGTGCCTGGCACTTCACAATACAAAAAGCCAAAGAGCCCAAAGTGCCGCAGCCGGAAGACAATGCCAAACGAGCGCCCCCAATGCGCGCTCCATACAGCCACCGTAGCTCCACAGCTTCACAGTGAGCGCAAAAAAATTTATGATGCGCTCTTGGCCTCTTTTATTTCAATCACTATAAATCAAGATATGGCGTCGGCAAGCAGCACCAGCAACTCGCTCTCTCTCTGTCTCTCTGTGTGCCTCAACACACACACACACACATACAGTAGACTGCGCATTTGCGTGCGCCTTCAGGCAGCCGTATGTGTGTGTGAGTGTGTGTATACAGCTAAACGGAAACGGGTCTCTGTGTACATATCTCTTGTTGTAGCATATACATATCGTGTATGTACTCGTACTCGTACTAACTTACTTGGCTGCCAGGCAAAAGGCAGGACTTACATGTCCTTCGCCCTCACTCGTACCCTCACCCTCACCCCTTCGTCCTGCCTGTCGCTGGTAGCGTCAAAGCGGAAACGCGTTTCATTTTATTATTGCTTCATGTAGCGTACACATTACATTGTTAGACTCTAGGGGGAGGGGCGATGCACAGTCGCCCCTTTCTGCCCCCTTTGAGCTTACCCAACTGTGAGCCGTGTTGTTCCACTCATGGATCGCTTTGTTTTGCATACTTTTAGGTGCTCACCCCGTCATCAGGCCTGTTGGATTTCGCAATCAGCATGCGTCCGGATTATCATCAGGCAATTATTGATACCATACAATACTACGGCTGGCAAAGCATTATTTATCTATACGATTCGCATGATGGTGAGTATGAGATAGTCGGAGAGCTAGAGTGGGCGTGGCAGGCGCACAGCCAACGCACGCTACATTATCCCATTGTTTACTGCATGTATTTTGATTTCATTTCATTTTCGCTTTCGTTAGCGCTAAACAAATGGGGCGCCAATGGGGGCGAGCGGCTTCAGCTCGTTGCGGTTATTGTTTTTGTTATTGCGTTTGTTTTTTCTTCTTCTTCTTTTTCTGTTATTGTCTGAGTGTTTGACATTTTAGTTGTACGCACACAAGTGCGTGTGGCACGAGCAGAGCTGAAGGCCTGCAACAAAACAATGCCAATTAATTAAGATTAATTCGCATATTTAGCCAAGTTTCTGGCGGCAAAAGTTGGCAGCTCTTCAATTAAATTTATTATGGAATTTATTCCTGGCTTTGGAAACTAAAAGCTTGAACTCTCAAACATTGTTGATTCAAATTAAAACTCTTAGTTATTGCAGTAAATTTTTAGGTAAACATAATATAATATCAAGTAAAAATGTATCGTAATAAACACTCTGCCAGCATGAAAAGTAAGAGAGGATTTGGCTGTATTTATGCAATTTATTTATTCATTTATGTAAATAGCAGCCGTTGCAAGGATATTTTCAATGAATTTTCAACCAAACTACGTACATTAAGTATGCTGGCTTAAAAGAGGTCTGCTTATACAATTTACTTAATATTAAGCATTCAACGAATTTCCGTCTAAGCTCTATGCCGACACAGACAAACAAGGCAGCAAATTGTGTATAGGGAATTTGAAAGCGCTTACTTCAAATAATTCCTAGCTGAAGCAAATTGCATCAGTTACTGCTAAGCCCAAGTCCCAGCCTCAGCCCAAGCCCACTCCGGGTGCTGGCTCCCTCACACTTTTTTTTTGTCTGCGCCTTAACCCGCGCAAATGTAAATAGAAATCAAACATCAAACACATGTCTATAATATCTTGTGCTTGTGCCACTTAACAGAGCCGACTACAGCTGCCCCTTCGGTAGCTGCGTCGCCTTTCTTCTTTCTTTTTTGCTAATATGTAATTAAATGAGCGGCACAAAGAGGCAGCGCCTGCTGCTAAAAGTAAAAGTAAGAGGACGCCAGCTAGCTAGCTAGCTAGCTAGCCAGACAGACAGGCAGACAGATAGACAGACAGCCAGGCAGGCAGAGGCTTGAGTACTCTTGAGCGCTTAGAAGTGCTTCGCCTGCTTGAGCAAAGGAACAAGTGGATGAAGATGGGCAGACCGACGAGCTGTACACATATGGTTGAGTCTTGGCTACAGACAACGCCACATAATGTATTTGTTGTTGTCTTAGGCTTCTTCTTTTGTTGTTTTTGTTGTTGTATTGAAATTTATTTCAAAGCAATTTCCTGCAGTCTACGTGCGGCGCGTCGACGACAGCAATTACGGCCAAAGATGAAGACATCAAGGCGAGAACGAAAGACATCGCATACACTCACTCCCGCCCATACACACACACACACACACACACATTCACACGTAATACACATGTGTATACTTACTGGCACACAATGGCTGAGAGCCGAACGAACGACTTCGAGTTGTGTAAAAATTTCATATGATATTACGTATACGCCGCAGTGATTTTTGCGTGTGTTATTTGAACATTTTTATGCCGACGCCTTTTTGCGCCTTTTGTAATGAGTTCACAGGCTGTCGTTATGGCGTTGCCTGCCATTGTGTATCTGTGCGAATGTGTGTGTGTGTCATGTGTTAATGACTCTGTGTGAAATAAAATTTATGACTTTATGCAACTGCTGGCAGCGCTTGGCCCTTTTTGCTGCTTGCTGCCTGCTGCTAGCTGCTTACTGCCTGCTCCCTGCTGCCTGCTGCCTGCTTGAATATCTTTTTTCTTTTTTGGGTGTTTTTTTAATATTTGCGCCGTTTGCCGAAAAGTAGGCCGACATTGTTGCCGCTGGCATACGGCGCAGGAAAAGGAAATGCCGCAGCAGCAGCAGCAGCAGTAGCAGCAGTAGCTAGGGCACTGCCTTTACTACTGCCTGCTGCTATTGTTGTTATTGTTGGGTTTTGGTATTTTGGCCGACTTCAGCTCAATACACGTTGCCAGGCATCGTTTACATTGTTAACGAAAGGCACCGCAGCGAGACTTTATATTTTAATGCCGCTGTCAGCAGTTTGTTGTTATTGCTTTGTTCTTTGCTCTAGACCCGATTTTTTCTTATTTTTTGCCATTTTTTGCTGTTACCGTTGTTCGGCAAACGAACATCGCACACGGCGACAAATTGGTAGCATATTTTTTGGCGCATTCATGAATACAAAAGTTGCAGAAAAAGCAATACGCGACTACATAGGAAGCATTCAATAAAACATCATCGCACACACAGACACACACACAGCTGGCAACAACAACAGCAACTAAATGGCTGAACAAACAGCACGCACCCAATTTTATTATTATTTTCTTCTCTTTTTTACTTGTGGCTCGACGGCAAGGGGAGCTTTCGCTATTTATTGAAATGTTACCAACGTGCCACAAAAAAGTACTTCAATTGTCTGTGCACTTCCGTTTCCTCTTCGGTTTGAGTGAGTGTTGTTCTCTCGTTTGTTGTTGTTATTTTTGTTTTGTGGCCAATGCCAACAAATCATGCAGCCAGAAATCAAAGGCAATAACAACAGCACAGCACAGCACAGCAGTAGCAGCAGCAGCAGCAGCAACAACAGAAACATCTGTGACAACAACGCCGTGCAACAAATGGCGTGTGAAAATGTTTTTTGCGGCCTGGCAATGAGAGATTGAGGTAGTGATTGAGTGTGACTGAGTGACTGAGTGTGTATATAAAGTATTCATAAGCAGACGGTAGAGCTCCCGCCTGTATATCCACCCGAAAAAAGTAAATATGCGTGGCAATAAGGGGGCCACACAGCAAATAGCTGTAAGAGATAAATAAACATTTTATAGTTTATTGACTTTTCCCCATAAAACTTTGCCAAAATCACAAAATCATATTCAAACGCTTTGAAATTATATTCATATGCAGCAGTTAACCAAGTGCTGAATCAAATTTTATGCTTATTTGCCAAACTAGGAGCAACAAATACTAGACTCAAAATACGAAATAGAATTGATAGTAAAATACATTTTTGATCAAGTGTGTGTCATAAAATATTTATTGAACTTACACTTATGCTTTACTTTATAATATTTTTATTTTTAAATATTTGTATTAAAGTTGGTAACTGAATAAATATATATCTTAATATATTCGTTTATCAGGAAAATATTTCGTTTGCATATTTCTCGTGCGTCCTTAATAACGTTTCTGATGTCCCTTTTTTCGGGCATTTCATCTCTTTAATCGCGTTTATGTGGCGCTTTACTTTTGATTGCCAACACAAACACACACACACACATATATATATGGCTTATATGGCACTCAATATTACTCATACGTTACCGTGCGCTGATGTTTGCTTGTTTGTTTGTTTTTTGTTTTTTCTTTTTTCGCCGGCATCCTCTTGCCACTCGGCCATCCGTAGGCTTACTGCGCCTGCAGCAAATCTATCAAGAACTGAAGCCCGGAAATGAAACATTTCGTGTGCAAATGGTCAAACGCATCGCCAACGTAACGATGGCCATTGAATTTTTGCACACGATGGAGGATTTGGGGCGCTTCAGCAAAAAGCGCATCGTGCTCGACTGCCCGGCGGAAATGGCCAAAGAGATCATCATACAGCATGTGCGGGACGTAAAGCTTGGCAGGCGCACCTATCATTACCTGCTCAGCGGCCTGGTGAGTGCAAAATACCAGAAAACAAATTCCGTGGCAACTTACCAGCTTTGGCAAGCTGCCTTTACGTGGCCCCCGCTGGGCGCCTTTAATAAGCAATTATTACCAGCATCCGCTAGGCTTTGTTATCCTTTCTGGCTCTACGTCGTTTTACACATTCTCCCTCGCTATCTCCCTCTCTCTCTCTCTTGCTTACTCTTTGTTATTTCTTTGTCGTGTGTGTGCGCGTAGGTCATGGATAACCACTGGCCCAGCGACGTTGTGGAGTTTGGAGCCATCAACATCACCGGCTTTCGCATTGTGGACACTAATCGGCGCGCCTTGCGTGATTTCCATGACAGCCGGAAGCGCTTAGAGCCAGCGAGTGGTGCCGGCACAGCAGGCGGCGGCGGCAGTCAGCCAGCTATTTCGGTAAATTCTTACACAGACCCAAGTCGTAGTCGCTTGTAGATTGAAGGCATCTCTTTGTTTACAATTCATTTGCACAGGCACAGGCAGCGCTCATGTACGATGCGGTCTTTGTGCTTGTCGAGGCCTTCAATCGCATTCTGCGCAAGAAGCCGGATCAGTTTCGTGCCAATCATCTACAGCGTCGCAGTCATACGGGCGGCCCGGGCGGCACCAACTCGCTGAACGAATCGAGCGCCCTGCTCGACTGCAGCACATCCAAGGGCTGGGTCACACCCTGGGAGCAAGGAGAGAAAATCTCACGGGTGCTGCGCAAGGTAAAAGTCAACATTTTGCATTTCATATCGCCCATGCGGGCGCAGCTATTTTGATGAACATTTTTTCGACGCAAGAGCTGAAGTATTTCGCTGAAAGCTATTTAAAATCTTTAATTTCAAGCCGAAATTGTTGGGGTGCAACTTGCTGAGAGAGTAATGCGCGACTCAAAGATACCCTGTGAAAAGATTGTGTTAAAGATAACTTAGATATTCAAGCAAATATAAAAAGAACAATATGAAGAAAATAGGAAATTAAAAGAAGAAACTCTATAGTTAGATGAGAAAACTTTAATATATGCTCTTGTTTGACTTGAACATACCCAAGAACGCACTTGCTTGATTAGAGTGTATACCAAAGGAGAAAGCAAAGACTAAAGTCGGCGAACTCTTATAATTGTATAAGTATATTTATGAAAGTTGTGCTTTGAGCGAGTGTTTCTGATAGATAGAAATTATAAAAGTTTCTGATTGCAAATATTTGTCTGTAAAAATGAACAGCAACAAGAAGAAGAAGAATAACAACAACAAAAACAACAACTTGAGGCACAAGCTTTGCCTGCTATGCAACGCTGGTTTTTAAAGCGACTCCCAATTCCCCTAGCTAATCTCTTTGTTTATACTTGTTGTGTAGGTGGAAATCGATGGATTAACTGGTGCTGTGCGCTTTGATGATGACGGCCGGCGAGTCAACTACACGTTGCAGGTGGTGGAGATGTCTGTGAACAGCACGCTGCAACAGGTGGCTGAGTGGCGGGACGATGTGGGCTTCCTGCCGTTCCATGGGCATCGCACTCACGGCAGCAGCTCGCGCACAACGGCCGCCAGCAATGGGGATTATACACGCAATCACACGTACATTGTGACCAGTGTGCTGGAGGAGCCATATCTAATGCATAAGGCTAGCTATGGCCAACAGCTGGTTGGCAACGAACGCTTTGAGGGATATTGCAAGGATATGGCTGAGCTGATTGCCACCAGGCTGGGCATTAAATGTGAGTTCCGATTTCCACTTCTGAATCTGTTCAACAGAAATTGTTATTCTCGCTGCTTTTCTTTCACATTGTCAGTTGAGCTGCGACTGGTGCAGGATGGCAGCTACGGTGCCGAGAATCAGTTTGCACCGGGCGGCTGGGACGGCATGGTGGGTGAGCTGGTGCGCAAGGTGAGAAACAGACACAGACACACGGCTGACAATAGTTGTCAACACTTTGTAACTGCTTTATTGTCGTTGGCCTTAAAGGAGGCGGACATTGCGATTGCAGCGATGACGATTACGGCGGAACGGGAGCGCGTCATAGACTTTACCAAGCCCTTCATGTCCCTGGGCATCTCCATAATGATCAAGAAGCCAGTGAAACAAACTCCAGGTGTCTTCAGCTTTCTGAATCCTCTCTCGCAGGAGATATGGGTAGGTCTTGCAGAGCTTAAGGTTTCTCTACCACTTACTTGTCTCCACTCTTCCTTCCCCCTCTCCCTCTCTCCCTCTCTGGCTTTCAGATAAGTGTCATCTTGAGTTACGTGGGCGTAAGCCTTGTACTTTACTTTGTCACGCGGTTGCCGCCCCACGAGTGGCGCATAGTGCGTCGTTCGACAAATGAAACGAATTCACAGCAACAGCCACCGGGCATCATTGGTGGTGTCCAATTGACCGAACCACCCGAGCAACATCAGCCGGCAGCGGTGCCACTGAATGAGTTTAGTCTGCTCAACTCCTTTTGGTATTCGCTGGCTGCCTTTATGCAGCAGGGCTGCGACCTGACACCACCCTCGATAGCTGGACGCATTGCTGCCGCCGTTTGGTGGTTCTTTACCATCATATTGATCTCGTCCTACACAGCCAATTTGGCTGCATTCCTCACTGTGGAACGCATGGTGGCGCCCATCAAATCGCCCGAGGATCTGGCCATGCAAACCGATGTACAGTACGGCACCCTGCTGCATGGCTCCACCTGGGACTTCTTTCATGTGAGTTTTTGCTTTGCCAATGCAGTCTCGTTTTTCTGAAAGGCACTTTTAATATAGCGCTCGAAGATTGGCCTGCACAGCAAAATGTGGGAGTACATGAATGGCAATCCGCACCTGTCCGTGCGCACCTACGACGAGGGCATCCGACGTGTGCGCACCTCCAAGGGCAAGTACGCCCTGCTCGTGGAGTCGCCAAAGAATGAATATGTTAACGCGCGAGCTCCCTGTGACACCATGAAAGTGGGTCGCAACATAGACACCAAGGGCTTTGGCATAGCCACGCCCATTGGTTCGCCACTGCGGTAAGTGATTGATTAAACACTTCAGTTTGTGGGATTAGCTACATTTTCGACCCTCTGCTCCACCACTCGTTCGATATGCACCAGGAATCGTCTCAATTTGGCTGTGTTGTCGCTCAAGGAGAACGGCGAACTGCTCAAGTTGCGCAACAAATGGTGGTTTGACAAAACCGAATGTAATCCCAATTTGGACAGCCAGGAGACCTCCACACCCAACGAGCTCTCACTGAGCAATGTGGCTGGCATCTATTACGTATTAATTGGCGGTCTGCTGCTCGCCGTCGTGGTGGCCATACTCGAGTTTATTTGCCGCAGCAAGACGTCGCGTCGAAAGGTGCCCGCCAATGGCTCCACTGGCGGCATGTTGGGCTCCTCTACATATCAGCGGGACTCTCTCTCGGATGCCATCATGCAGTCCCAAGCCAAGCTCGCCATGCAGGCGGGCAGCGACTACGACGAGCGTCTAGTGGGCGTTGAGGTGAGCTTCCACTTCATTTCCAATAAATACCCAAGAGCTCTAAATTCACATATATTACACTTGCTCTTCCAGTTGGCATCCAATGTCCGCTATCAGTACAGCATGTAAATGCAATTGGTCTCCAAGTAAACTTGTATATAGCATTTGAAACGCATTAACTAAACGACGCTGGCGATCAATGGCAAAGTTGTCGACGGAGCAGTTGGCATTCGGCAGGCGGCGGCGTTCTAAAACTGTACAGCATAATTATTTGTATTTTTGATAAATGTTTACATTGGGATTGCATAATAAATAAATGAAAGTAGCTGTAATTAGCGCTTAAGTCAGAAATTATTCAAAATAATAAAGCGTACATTTTAAGCAGTGAGAGCGTGTTGAGCGTCATTTACATGCGGTCGGAAGGATTCACTTGGCTTTGGCTCATGCGGCGTATGAGTTATACAACCTGCGCACCTGTCTGCGGGCATGTGTGTGTGCGTGTGTGTGTCTATTTGTATGTGCGTGTGTGTGTGAGTGTATATGGTAAGCCGCTTAGCTGACTTAAAGTTTTAACAAAGCAACCACCTCGACTGCACAACCTAAGCGGCTTTCAATGTAAACTTTGCGTTTAGCGCTGCGCGGGCGGCAGGCGTCAGGCGTCAGGCGACAGCAACTGGGCCAAAAGGTGGGGGCGTGGCATGGCAGAGCATAGCACTAAATTATGCATGCGCGCCAAGTTAACACAAACACGTCAACAAAGCTCACGCAGCTCAGCACAGGTACAACGAGATTCGGCTAAATTTATTCATTGTATTTATTACATTTTACTCTGAGCCTAGTTTCAATTTTGTAATTGATCCAAATTAATACAAATAACAAAAAATAATGGCCAGCCAGCCGAATGTGCGGTTGAGTACATTTAATTAGATGCTGGCTATCAATTCAATTGGAATTCCAATTGAATTTCATTCAGATTAATGCACAGCAAATTATTGTTACAACTGCCTTACAATTACATACAGATATATATATATATATATATTATATATATATATATAAATTTGTTATATAATTGTGGCAAATCAGCGCTTGCAAGGATTGGCCAGATTTTATTTTGATATTTAAATTGTAAAATTTTATTATTTTAGTTTTTTTTTCTGCTGCTGTCAAATGGCATTCTTTGGGTAGATTTAATAATATGGTAAAATAATTAAACTAAATTATGAATTAGTCGATAATGTGAAACATTTGCAACATTTTAGTTAAATACCACGTTGTCGCTAAGTGGGCATAATCCGAAAATGCCAAATAATTGACATTGTTTTTAAATGGGTTCATAATGACAGCGATGCAATGTGAAACAGCAACGAGCTTCAATTGAAATGAGAGCTGAATGGAGTTATTTCATGCTGCTAGCGTATCCATCATTCCGTTTCAAAGTTTCTAGCTGCACTAATCGTGCTTTCAACAGTTTTGAGTTACTTAGTGGAGCAAAGAACATCCTTCGAACTAATCCCCAAATTCGCTGACAGTTTTTGCGAATAGACGACAAATCGCCAGCCAACCCAAGCCATTTTGTAAGTAGGAAAAGTGATGTGGAGTGGCAGGAGGAGGGCAGTGCGGCAGCATAGCAGAAAAAACTTATCTCATTCGCACTGGCTCGTTCTACAATACATATACATCACGCTCTGGCACTTTGGTAACCCAAGACAAACTCAAAGTTTCACCTTTAACCCTTAACAAGTAGCAACCTCAGCTTACGAGTCTCAATTTTTGGGCCATTCTAGAGCGTTGAGAAAAACTAGCAGCAGCAGAAGCAGCAGCAGCTTTGGCTTTACTTAAAGTAACTCGCAACGCTTTGCATAAATTTTTACATTTTTCTTGGGGTTTAGTCTGGCTTTTTTTATACGTATTTTTCGTTGCTTCTTTAGGGCAGCAAAGTTCGACAGAGTCACGCGCTGAGTTGCGAGCTGCTGCCGCTGAAGATTGGGTTGGAGGCTGATTTAGGCAACGGGTGCTTCAAGCCGTGTTGATTTGCTGAAAAGCCGCAGGATTTGTGGGACTGTAAGCAGGCTGACTTTTTGCCGTGGCGCATTTAATGCTTAAAAATCGATTTTTCAATAAATTGCGAAACAGAAGCAGAGGCAGGCGAAAGTTCAGAGCCGTTGTTGCCCAGGACAACTCCCCACTCAAAACAGTTTTAAGTGAACTGCCAAAATACAAAAAACTTTTGCCGTAAATTTTCATATTTATTTATTTTGTCAATCCAGCATGCTTTGCATTTTGCGTAATATGGCGTATGTGGTTGAAACTTTCGCAGCATCAAGAAAAAAACCAAAAAAAGAAAGAACAAAAAATGACAACGCGGAACCCGGACTGGGAGCTAGGCGGGCGCCGGCAGCTAGTACGAGTGAGAGCATGAGGAATGCGTTTGAGAAATGAATGTGTGTCGCAGATCTCTGTCGTGCGATATGTGCATAGATATAGCTTCATATGTACCATGTGTATTCCATGAGAATTCTATGTATTCCATGCTTTGTTGCCACAGATAAGCGTGGCTGCCTGGTAATGGCCAAAAATCACAGCGGATTCTCTTTTATTTTTTTCATTTCATTCTACTTTTTTTTGTTCTTTTTTGTGTAACTTGTGCAAAATGACACACAGATCAAGTGGCGCAACGGGAGGGCACGCGATTCACTGCTGGGCGTGGCTGGCGGGGGTGGCGAGAGCTTGGAGCGTGTCAGCGTGTGGGCCACGCATTTGCAATAAAAAATATGATGATGCTACCCATATGCATGCTCAACACTCTAACAAATTCTAGAGTTTGGGTCGCACGAAATCTCATAATATTTGCAAATGACGAACGTGAAAGTTTTTGATAAGTCGAGACTAACAATTTTAGCAAGAACTTTTCCCATACAGTTATCAAAAGGCAGGCATCAAAACAAGCAAAGCAACCCACCAACAAAGGCAAAAATAAACAAAACTATAATTTCATTATTCGAAAAGCGCTCGAAATTTATGAGCTGCAGCTTAAAAATGCTGAACAGGTATAAAAAGTCATAGACAAATATGCATATATATGGAGAAAATGCTATTGCAAGAGATTTATACGTAACGCCCGGATTTGTTTGCCCAACTTTGCAGTCAAAACAATGCACAAATATATTACACACACAGTCACACACATATATATTTATTCGCATATAAATAGATGAACTTTTTTAATCGTTTTTGTGCTATGAAATATGACAAAACATGCAACTAAAAGTAATTAAGCATTGGGATATTCTGCTGGGAATGCTTTTCGAGCACATGGGGCGTATGCGCAATAATTGTTTTCAATGGTTTTCTTTCGCATATTTGTTATGATAATAATTAATTTGTATTGATTTTAATGTTATGCTTTTACTTTTGCCTTTGCTAAATTTCATTAATTAGTCGTCCATGATTTTGACAGTTTCAATTAGTTTGGCGAGCTCGTTTTTTCTACTTTTCGGCATTTTCTATTTGCCAACTTGTCAAATTGCCATATTAATTAAACGAAAAAAACCTAAATAATAAATCCACTGCTAACAGAAAAAAAATATAATATTTATGCAATATTTTACCAAAGGGGCACAAATTGAATGCCTCCAAGCGCAGCAGCTGGCAATGTGTAACAATTTGTGAATACTTTCCATTTGTATGCGTATATGTGTGTGTGTGTGTGTGTGCGGGAGCGTGAGCATATCTGTGTATTTGCCAATTGCAACCACATAAATGTAATCCACAGTCAGCGAGCCCGACCCCAAACCCAAAGGCTGGCAATCCCAACCATGCCAAAATCCCACTCACCCACTGCAACCGCAAACATTTGCCCACATGTAGGCAGCACTTTGAAGAGCCATTTTTAATACTTTTTTCTTCGTTTTTTTTTTTTTTTTGGTGAGGGCGAGAGTAGAGGAAGTGCTCCACATTCGGGCACCCCATACAGAATGAAATTCATGCATCGTTGCATACAATTCGCCATAAATGTTACCGAAAACTTGCTACGAACTGCCATTACCTGGCTTATATGCTTGCTGTATCTATATATAACATATATCATGTATATATATATATGCATAGTATGTTTTTCAAGGCAATGGCTTCATAAATTACAAGCAGCAGCAGCGTCTCTGTATACGCATTTCAATGGATGCAAATGATAAATGTCACAGCTCCCCATTGTGCGTGTGTCAATAGAGTTCGTTTGAACTTTTCTCTTTTTCCCATATAAGAAATTTCAATTTTCCAATTTTCCAATGATTTTCTAATATTCGCATAGTCAAATTTACATTGCCTTGCCCTGAGTTGACTTTATTGCCTTGCATTTTTGGCAATTTCTTTATTTCTATTTTATCTAGCCAATAAATTACAAATAAGTTTAGACAATGCAGCGGGCGAGGTGGCGGCAAGTGCAACATTTTATGTAATCTGCAGGCTTTTGCATACATAAGCCGCTTTTACTTGGCCTACATCAAATATAACAAACAATGTCTATATATGTGCCGTATATGTTATATAAGTCTTTGTGAAAAATCAACAAATCAAAACCAAAATTTCGCTCGGGGCTATGCAGTAAAGTTGATTGCCAAGAAACAGAAGAACAATTGCCATTTGGTAAATGACTTAAAAGCTCGCCCATTAAAGTGCACTTTAATGATGGATTTATGAACATTCTGAGCACAGCACTCAGATTCTCTTTAATTTTAAATACACACAGCAAGACAGAGAGAGAGAGAGAGGGACTGAGCAGAGCTTACTGAAGGGGTGCTAAGTAAATAGCAAATTAAATGTAAACATCTAATGTTTCATTAGCAGCATAAAATGTGTGTTTAATTATTACGAGTCAGACGGCGTCGCTTTGGGGTCGTGTTTAATGTTTTCTACCCAGAAACTTACCTAAATAAAAAGTTTAGTTTTCACACACGCACACACACACACTGAGGCACATACGCAATTAACTTTTACTATGTGTGCAGTTTTCTATGGTCAACTTTTGTTGTGCATTTCGCCTGAACTTTTTCGGAAATAAAATAGTATAAAAAATAAGCAAGAAACGTTTTGCCTCGCCAAGCTAAACTTTATATACTCTAACAGCAATTTTTACATATGTCATAGAGTTTGATACGAGAGTGACAGACTGATCAACTATATGTAAGTTCATGTATGATAGATATAGTGGGTTACTTAATAACTCTCTCAATTATCAAAGAAAGACTTTCAATTACTGAGGTAGGCTTTGCAATATCTCAAG